TTGGGAGAGAAGGTCCAGCCACCTTCTGGGAAGACCTCAGGAGAAGCCAGTTCAACCATGACTATGGGGACTGAGCTCTGTCTCTTCCCTTCCCTTCCTTGCCCAGCCTAATAATAATAGTCATTAAGCAGGAATCTGTTTGCACAAAGCACTGTCCCTCGGGTGAATTTTTGGATTATTTATTTAGTTGCTTCCATTTATGAATCTCTTCCCATAAAATATCTTGAGGCGATTGCACAGTGAAAGCACCTTTGTCAACAACAAGAACTAGTCCATATGTGACATATGTGAAACCATGGGATATATTCAAGCATTAGCTCAAAGTGAAGCTGAAATTTTGAAATCAACCAGCACATTATAGATTTAAGCATTTATTTGAGAACCCTCTATACCAGCCTTTCTCAACCTGTGGGTCCCCAGATGTTGTTGAACTACAACTCCCATCACCCCTAGCTAGCAAGGCCAGAGCTCAGGGATGATGGGAGTTGTAGTCCAACAACATCTGGGGACCCACAGGTTGAGAACTGCTGCTCTATACTTTTCAAGCATAGGGATGCATTGCAATGATCAACACAGATCTCCATGTGTTGCCCATTCAGCTCAATCTACTGCTTTCTGTGCACATACACGGGGAAATGATTTTGAGTGCTCCAATATCTCCTTCTGAAGTGACTTAAGTCGTGTTTTCCCTTGAAGTACCATTGTGTGCAACAGAACTTGCACACCATCCTCTTGAAATTGAAGCACCTTGTGTTTTCAGTGTTCCGAATGCTTGACTTTGGAGCACACAGAACCCACGCACCTTCTCCAGAGTGACCCTAGGAGCCAATCCTCAGTGGCTGACTCAACTCCTTTCACTCTGATTGGCTCCAATCAACACAAAGAGTGATAAGACTTCTTCTCCCAGTACGTTTCCGAGCACAATTCAAAGTGTTGTTGCTGACCTTTAAAGCCCTAAACGGCCTCGGTCCTGTATACCTGAAGGAGTGTCTCCACCCCCATTGTTCACCCCGGACACTGAGGTCCAGTGCTGAGGGCCTTCTGGCGGCAGTGGCGTAGCGTGGGGGGTGCAGGGGGGGCCGGCCGCACCGGGCGCAACTTCTGGGGGGGCGCGCTCGCTGCCTCCGGAGTCGCCGAAGAGCCGCCGCCGCCTGCCATGCCGCCCTGGCTGCTTCTGTCTGGACGCGCGCAGCCCGCCAAACGCGCCACCGGCAGCGAATGAAGCGCCCAGCCGGAGCCACCTGCGCTCTAGTGCCTGCGCGCCAAGACTGCCCACCCGCCCCGACGGGGCACGCCCACCCGCGCCGGAGGCCGGCCGATGCACTGGCCCCAGAGCTGCCCCCTCCCGCGCCAGAAAGAAACCCCCTCCCCGTACCAGAAAGAAGCCGCGTCGGGGCTAGCCGGGCCGGGGAGGGAGACCGAGAAGGCTGCGCCGCGACGCCCAAAGACGCACGTCTTGGCGCAAAGGGGCCCGCGGCACCCAGACGCGGAAGGGACCCTCTCCCCCTGACCCGCCACTGAACTGCAATTCCCAGCTCCCTTGGCAAATCCCAGTCCCCAATCCCCAAGATGCTTTATTTGAGGCAGGGGTCCTTTAATTGCAAAAACAACACCACGGAGGGCAGTAGTCACCACGAAGTTTGCCCCAGAGTAGAGCCGTCAGTATTAATGACCATGGTTAGGGGTTAGAGGGCGCAAATTACTTGCCTTGCCCCGGGTGCTGACAACCCACACTACGCCGCTGTCTGGCGGTTCCCTTGCTGCAAGAAGCCAAGTTACAGGGAACCAGGCAGAGGGCCTTCTCAGTAGTGGCACCCACCCTGTGGAACGCCCTCCCACCAAATGTCAAAGAGAAAAACAACTACCAGACTTTTAGAAGACATCTGAAGGCAGCCCTGTTTAGGGAAGCTTTTAATGTTTAATAGATTATTGTATTTTAATATTCTGTTGGAAGCCGCCCAGAGTGGCTGGGGAAACCCAGCCAGATGGGTGGGGTATAAATAATAAATTATTATTATTATTATTCTCAGTGGCAAGAAAGTTCCCCTTTCAAGCTGATAGGGCAGCTCCAGGGTTTGGGGGCCAGAGACCCTGCTGGGACCCTGATGTGGAAATAGTAATGGGTCTTCAACTCTCCCTCCCATAACCTTTGACCACTATACCTCTGTCTGCATTGCACAAAAACAGGCTATGGGTTCATTAAGCTCTGTATTGCCTGCAGTGGCTGCTAGTGGCTCTTTGGGGTGTCAGACAGAGGGCTTGCCCCATCTTGCCTTAAAATGCTTCAGATTGAACCTGGGACCTATTGCATCCAACCCACTGAGTTTAGTTGTCTTCCCCATCTTAATTTTGCAAGGTTTCCAAAGGGATCAGTGTTATCAAGGGCAGGATTTATGTGCTAGATTAAGCTCAGGGTCTATAGCTCATCTATAGCGCATTTGCATTGCTTACTAAAAGTCGGGGGGGGGGCTCCCTATGCTAGAACCCCAAGATCTTTATGAACCAGGTCCATCTGCAAAGGTGTCTGGAGTTAGAAAGAAAGAGCAGAGAGGTCTTCTGAATGCATTCCGAGCACAGAATTATGATTTTTGTACCAGAAACTGAACTGAGTCCACAGCCCTTTCACACACAAAAATCCACCTCTGGTTAGCAGTTTCCATTTCAGCAACGTAATGTAGGCTGATTTAAGCTGCTACTCATGTAATTAAGGCCTTGATTCGCAGCAAACCTGCTTTGTGCAAACTCTCTTGAAATGAATAGGAAGCTATCTAAGGGAGCTGTTAGTCCTGCTAACCAGGGTTTGTACCACTCAAGAATGCAGGATGGGTGCATTCTCTTTTGTGCCCTGAGTTTACTTTTCGTGAAAAGTTTGCATGTCAGAGATAAAAGTTTAGAATTCTAAATGAAGCTAAATTTCCAGGGCTGGAGAGCTTTGATCAAGGGAACCATGCAAAGTTGATTACGCCTCTGCCAAATCCCGAAGTAGCTCAATCCCAGAATGAGCGTATTATATGAATTTTCTTACCAGTAATTATTTTTTTAAACCAGCAACAGGCATAGTTAATGGTAGCGCTTAATTAAAACTACCATCTTTTCCTCTCTAGTACACTTCTGTGCCTCTGGGGCATAATTCTTTCACAATCAGCAGGAAACAAAATTAAAACCATGGGCTCAATGTAGAACTTTATATAGCGCTTTATTCCCCATAGCCTAGCCCCATGGGCAAAGATCCTAAACATGTTTGCTCAAAAGTAATTAAGTCTCATTCGGCTCAGTGTGGCTTACTGCTCCCTGGAAAGCGCATTTAGGACTGAAACTGTCAATCAGGAAAGGTATTTCTATTTGATGTGTGTTAACGTAGTCTTGCCTCTCTGGGCTACTGGCCCTTTACTTAGTTGTTTCCTAATTTCAGACATTACTTGGCAAAGTTCACACCATTTGATGTGTTTAATGAGTGGTTTTCTGATCTAAATCAAGAAAGGCTGGAATGTCTGTGTGACTGAGCTGCTCAGTTAATCTTTTTATCAAATCTGTGGCATTTTATGGATTGCAATTTTTTTTGCTGATACCATCCTGGTGGATCATATTTTAATGAATTATGGAATTGACTGGGGTGATATCTTTTTATTGTCATTTGCTTAAAGGTGTCAATGGAAGCAACCTGCAATTTGAAATGCCAAACAGGCTGACCCTACATCCTCCAAGTGCCCCTATTTTCCAGGAACAGCCCCAGATTTACAGAAGTCATTGCAGTTTCTGATTTGATCCTGGGATGTCTCATTTTTTCTTAGGAGTCGCTCCTATTTTCATTGGAGAAATGTTGGAGGGTATGGAGTTAGGTGACCCTTGAGACAAGGTGATAAGTAACTAGACAACCTTTAGAAGACACCTGAAGGCAGCTCCGTATAGTTTTATTATGTTTTTAGAAATGTTGGAAGCTGCCTAGAGTGACTGGGGCAACCCAGTCAAATGGACGGGGTAAAAAATAATAATAATATATAATAATTATTATTATTATTATTATTATTACTACTACTACTACTATTTTAGGGTGTCCTTATTTTCTTTCTTTTTCTTTTTTAATTTTCAATGCAAAATTACAACAAAATTACAAACACTGAATCCAAAATGAAACAGTACAAACAAGAAAAAAACGCAAGAGAAAAAGAACACAAAAACAAAACAAAAACACACATCTACAAACAAAACCACATCATCATTCTAATCTGATCATTACATACATATACACATAATGACTTCCTTCCTTTGTTCTAAGACCTTGAAATTTTTACTCTAAGTTGTTCTGACTAATGTAGAATACCTCTATCTTTATACTTTTTACACCATTTTTCTCTTTCTTTAACCCTGCAAAGCTTCATTCATTACATACCAATATGCTTACTCCAGAACAATGTTCTTTCATATACTCTTAGCACATCCCCATTCTTTTAATAATTTTTGGTCCGATTGTCCCCTTATGAATGCTGTGAGTCTTGCCAGATTTATATATTCACAAAATTTAATTTGCCATTCTTTCATTGATGGAATTTTTCTCCCTTTCCAATTTTTTGCTATGAGCATCCTGGCAGCTGTTGTCGCATAGAGGCATACTTTCCTTTGATTGTCAGGAATATCATTTGTGATTATACCTAAAAGGAATGCCTCTGGTTTTTTTTACTAAAGGATAGTAAATAGGTGTCCCTATTTTCATTGGAGGGTCTGAAACCACCAATCAGGAAACACATCTAAAATGAAGGTTTCAAGATGCTGGACTAGATGGGCCATTGGCCTGGCCTAACACCTGTCATGAAGGAGCGATTCTGTAAGCAAGTATCTCTGGGTGGCGTCCCTCAGGCAGGTGTTAACAATTAGTCCCCCAAGCGGGAGCAGGTGATGGGGCTCCCAGCATTCCTCAGCCCCTATAAATCTTCAAGTTAAGTTGCCAAGAAGAAAAAAAGCTAACAATCTGACTGTCACTGTGGTTTCCCACCCTGCTCCAGTCTGGAGAGACGATTAGCACCATGCCGGGGCTCATCAACCGGATGACCAACTCTGCTCTCCCTCTCGCGGCCTCTGAGGTGACCTCTTGTGTCAGCGGCTATGCTTTTGGGATGACGGCCTCTCTTACCTACAGCAACTCAGAGACCCACCCTTTTGAAGGTAAGGGACACAGGGAATGTGCACCCATGCCCCTACTCAGGCTTATTAATCTGTCTCAGGTGATATGTGTCCACATGGGAGAGGCTTCCTAAAGAGTCTAATGAGGCAAGCCTCTCTGAGGAGACCCACAGCAAGGCGCCCTGCAGTTTGCCAACTGCCCCATCCCTGTTAGCACACCTGGTGTTAGTGGTGACGTCAGGAACCCAGGTGATCCAGACCCTGGAATCTCACGTGGCTAAATCGGCTAAGATGCTGACCCAGCAAGCAACATGCCCCCTTGGCCCCTGTACCTAGGACTGGGGTGGACGCAATTTCAGTGTGGCAAGCAGAATATTTCTTTGCGCTGGGCAACGAAACGGGAATTCCTTCAGCTGGGCTGGGTATGATCTGTCTGTCCGTGCTGGTACTGGCGCCTCCACAACCTAAGTGACAGAGGGGGTGTCAGCAACTGCCATGGACCAGGCTAGGTGTGAGGTGCTTCCTGGGATGCTGTACCAGGGGTGGGTTCTAGTTATGCAGGTGGCTGATCCAGTGCTGAAGGTGAGACTGGTGCGGGAGCTGATGGGAAAGGGACCGCAGAGCTTCCCTAGGGTCATCGTCCAACTCCTCCCATCTCTCATCCTGGTTTGACCAGCCCCTCCAAGACATCTCCTTGGGACTCATAACATTGGCCTGGGATGTTGCTGGAGGAGAACGTCCCTAGGGTCAGATTTGTTTCCCAGGTGTGAGGTTCCTTGCCTTAGGCACCCCCAGCCCCAATGACCTTTGACCCCAGACATAAGCATTATGTCTCCTGAAAGGATGCTTCCCATTGGCAGGGCTCTTTGTCTACCCATTGGATGAATACACAACTGTGGTTGGCTTTGAGGCGATGGTTTCTGAACGGGTTGTGACTGTGCAAATCAAAGACAAGGCCAGAATTGACGACTGCTACGTTGACTGCTGCAGCCTCCCCAATGGCAGGGCCCTGGACGAAGGTGGTGAGAGAATTATTTGCGAGGAAAATACAACCACATCTAAGATGGTAGCAACTCTTGGTGAGGGTGTAGACCCTCCAGGCCACTAGGTGGCAGAGTGGCAGCCGAGTGCCACCCTTATCTGGGAAGTGGCAAAAACAACCTTTCTAAGGGAAAAAAAGTTTTAAAAGCAAAGGAGGGGGAACAGAATACCTTTGGCCACCTTGAAAGGTCAAGTAAAGTAAACAGCAAACCCCTCCTGAAAACTGAAGAGAAATTTCTTTTTCCCTTGCCACTCCCCAATCTGACAGTGCCCCAGTCCTTGCCAGGGTAGAATTCCTTTACACACAAGAGTTATTTATTTGTATCATTTATGAATCACTTCCCATAAGGCATCCCAAAGCAATTTAACAATGAAAATATCGGCAAGCAGTACATACATTCAAAGCAAACAAATAATCAAGTCCAATACACATACAGACTAGGATCAAAATGGGTGTACTGAAATTGTGTTACTGAAATATATTGCTTTGGTTTTGCATTATTCTTAATATTGTCTTTTCATAAGCTGCTCAGACACTTTTTCATAGTGAATGATGATGTGGCGTACCAAAATGCATACAGTAAGATAAAGTGTGCACATTAAAAGGAGGATATTAATGAAAACAGCATACAAAAATGTTGTATATTAGGCTGAAATTGCTTGACAAAAATGTTTATACTAGGCAAGAACTATGTCTATTTGGAGGCATTTTTTATTTTATTAAAAAAAGCAACCTGATTTGGAAATGAGAAGAACTGAATTTAAGATTGAAAACATGAGAAAATGAGAGTAACCAAAATGGAGAGATTCACCCATCGCTAGTGGTAGTTAAGACTTCTGAAAACTAGGCCATGGCAACCCTTATATAGAGAGGTGGGTGGGGTTGCTGGGGATATGAATGTTTTGACATTTTGTCATTTATTTTCTTTTACACAGGACGTATTGTGCTAGATGAGGATTTGGAGAGGATTGTCTTTGTGGCCAATTTGGGCATCGTTCCTCCTCAGGAAAATGTCTCCATCTGCATCAGTACCTCCTCAGAGCTGCAGACCCTTCCCAGCGGTGCAGTGAGGGTCCTCCTTCCAGCTGTGTGTGTCCCTAAGGTCCCCCAGAATAGCACAGATGCCACCGCCGCCATCTCTGGACACCACCTTCGATTGTAAGGGACCGACATGAAATATTGCTCTTGATGGGTTTAGCTAGCGCTACAAGAGGGAGGGAGGGACAACATTGCCACATCCTAGGGCAAAGCTGCCAAGGCTTTATAGCATGGCCTGAAGGGACACTATGGCAGAATCACCTGGGAGCCTCATGTGTGCCTCTTAAGCTACATGTGCAGCATGCACTGAAAGCCCTATGATACCCCTCTCCACAGTCATGGCTTCCCCAAGGAATTCTGGGAGCTCTGGTTTGTTAAAGGTGCAGAGAGCTGTTCAGAGACCCCATTCCCCTCACAAAGCTACAGTTTTCAGAGTGGTTTGACAATTATAGCTCTGTGAGGGGAATAGATAGCTCTCCATGCTATCTAAAGTTTAGAGGTGTAACAAGGAACAGGACTTTTGCGTCTGCTTTTAAGGAAAGCCCAAATTGTTCAAGACTCAAAAATACAGAGAGGATTTTGGATGGGAATTTTGAAGTCCTTTTGATGGTTTAGATGGGCCTGCGCACAACCTGAAAGTTGCGTTTAGCATTCCTTTTACAAATCGCCTCCTTCTTAGCAGAGACAGACACTACTGTGGTGTTGCTACTCCGGATCAGCCCGGAAAATTCTGTCTGGCTCGGCTTTTGGAAACGGAGGCGACGAATCCTACTGAGTATGAGTTCAGCTTCTACCTGGAGATCAGAGGACCGTGCTTACTTGCAGGTAAGTCTATATAAAAGCGGGCAGGGATGGGAACATTTTTGAACATCCACCTGGTATGGAACTATAACCCCTATCAGCCCCCAGACAACATGGACAATGGTCAGAGATGATGGGCATTGTGTTCACCACCTCTGCTCTGTGGGACAATGGTGAGTTCTGATTCTCGGTGCTGCTACTCTGTGACCGACTCCTCCAATCTAAGCAATGGGAAGCTGTCAGATCATTGGCCCATCTTGCTCAGTAATGTTTACACTGACTGGCAGAGTTCTCAGAGTTTCAGTGAGGATTCTTTCCCAGCTGATCTCACAAGGTTGCCATATGTCCTCTTTGACCAGGACATGCCCTCTTTTTCATGGGTGGAATCATCATAGTGATCCATAATTAAAAGTAGAAGTTGGCAAAGGTGTCCTCTTGTTTTTTTGCTCCTCAAAATATGACAATCTTACCAGAGAGTGAACCTGGGGTCTTCTGAGTACAAAACAGGTTGTCTGCTTCTGAGCTACGGCCCTTTCCCTCACTCACAGTCAAACTAGACTATGGTTCTGTGTGTGGTGTTGGTGCAAGGGATAAAAATTAAGGCTCCTACACTTCACACCAACTTTTTCTGCTGCCCGGCTGGAAGCTAAGCCATTGTCTGGCTTAGCACTATGTCCAGACCCAGGCTTATGGTTTGTTTTCCCTCGAACAAACCATGAGTGCTAAGCAAAGAATAAACCTTGGTTCACAGCTCATGGTTTTGTTTGGAAGTAAACCAACGGGACATAACGCTAAGCCTATTGAGGCTCCCATTGAGCTCCTATTGAGGCAAAAGTCGGGGAGGAGTGAAGCAGGCATGACTTCTGTATCATGCACCGGCACATAGTTCAGTTTGAGTTTAGTATAGTTTACACTTCAGTAGGGCTTGCACTGCAAGCAAGGCTACAGCAAACATGGTGAAAACGTTTTGTTGAAAAGTAGCAGTATTAAAATCAATTACCATCCTGCTTTTTATCATAGCAATGCATGAGTTTGCTGTCACTTACGATTGCATTTATATGTCCACCTTTTCTCCAAACTCAAGTTTTCTGGGTTCCAAATTCATCTTTGCACAACAACCTTGTGAGGTGGGTTAGACTGAGAAACAGCGACTGGCCCAAGATTGCCCAACGAGATTCATAGCTGAGTGGGGACTTGAACACTGGTCTCCCAGGTTCTAGTCTGACACTCTAACCACTACTCCACAATGGCTCCTACACACACACACACACACACACACACCTCTTCTTAAGTTCTTTGGGGTTCTTCATCATATTTTCCACACTGGATTCCCCAACTAGGAGTTGAAAGCCCGACGCACGAGATCCGCGCAGATGCCGCTCCTTCAGCCAGATCTGCCAAGAGCATTGTGATCACACTGGCCAATAAACATACTTTTGACCGACCCGTGGAGATCCTGATCCATCCAAGCGGTAGGTGGGCCATGCTTGTTATCTCTTTTCTTCTGGGGTCTCCCCATTCCAGAGATCCCTCCTTCTCTGTTTAGACAGTGCAAGAAACATTACATCTTGAATATGCTCCACCTAACCAGGGACAGTCCATAGTTTCCGGTCCCTGGTAAATTGCCGATCCAATCTTGCCTCTGCATTTGTCATTTTGGGGGTGGCTTGTTAAAAATGTACCTTGCGTGTAGTCCCTCCCAAGAAGAGCTGAGCCTGGCAGGACAGCTTACTCTATGGTCTTAACCCCTTCATGCATTAACTAGACTTAAGCATGTTGGTTATAGGAGGTTGGTTATCCCACACTTTGTACAGTAGACTAGTTTATACAGACATTCTACCCATCTTCCTCTATCCTCCAGCTAAAAAAGCATCCCCACCCCCTGTTCTCGGTGCCCCCAGCTCCTGTTAACAGTGGATCTCAAAGTTCTAGAAAAATCACAAAGTAGATCCCGCAAACCTGACCTCTTCTTTTTCTCTCCCAATCTCCCTGCCGTTCCAGAGCCTCACATGCCCCATGTTTTAATGGAAGAGGGTGACATGTCCCCCGCGGAATATGAGCAGCACCTGAAGGGGCGGAATGACTTCATTAAAGGGACCAAGAAAGATGCAAGTGCAGAGAGAAAGGTGAGGGGCAGAAGAGCGAACCAGACTTCCCTCCATTTTCTACACCAGCCTCACATAGCTACAGTTCTCAGAGTTCCCTGGGAGGAGAGAGATTGACTCTTAAAACATTCTGAGAAGCAGCCAGCGATAAGCATGGTTTGCACCCATAATGGTGTGCGGTTTGGCCCAAATTCATTGAGGAAATGCGGTCTGGATGGGTATTGATAGCTTTCATTACAATTTGGGGAGCTTATCTGCAGCCCTCAATATGTTGATGGGCTCTAACTCCCATCAACTTTGAACACTGGTCACGCTAGCTTGGCTGGTTGTACAACCCTGGAGGGCCCACAGGCTCACCACTTCTGCTGATAGCTCCGTTGGTTGGAGTGCAATGCTGAGAACACCAAGGTTGCAGGTTCGAACCCCGTATGGGATGGCTTCATATTCTCACATTGCAGGGGGTTGGGCCAGATGATCCTCAGGGTCCATTCCAACTACAATTCTATGACCCAGGTACATCATGTTCTGGGACAGCATGCCTCTGAATTCCCAGTGGGGAAATAACGGGAGGGGTGTTTCCCCCAGGTGTTGCCTGTGACTTCCTTGAAACATCTGGTTGGCCACTATAGAAAGCAGGGTGCTACACTAGTAGCCAAAATTGTGGAACCTTTTGGAAAAAGTGTATTTCCAAGGTTTGATGGCTCATAACACCTAATTGGCTCTCTTTACACAGTCATGCTCATTGGCTACATTCAAATGAAGGAAAACTACTGCATATCAACCCAAGCAAGTTGTGCTTCCCTTTTCTGGTTATTTGGCTATAACTTTTGATAGAATACAGATAACTGAACAAACTTTGTTGCACTACATTCTTCAATAAATTAATTTTCCATTGATACATAATACAGTGGTACCTCGGGTTAAGAACTTAATTTGTTCTGGAGGTCCGTTCTTAACCTGAAACTGTTCTTAACCTGAGGTACCACTTTAGCTAATGGGGCCTCCCACTGCCACCACGCCGCCACTGCGCGATTTCTGTTGTCATCCTGAAGCAAAGTTCTTAACCCGAGGTACTATTTCTGGGTTAGTGGAGTCTGTAACCTGAAGCGTATGTAACCCGAGGTACCACTGTATCAAGAAAGGTCCTAGAACAGATAATTGAACAGTCTGTGAGCACTTAGAAAAGGATGCTATGATTACTAAGACCCAGGATGGGTTTCTCAAAAACAAGTCATGCCAGATGAATCTTTTCTTCTTTCCTTTTTTGATAGTTTCTAACTTGGTGGATCATGGGAATTGTTATGTACTGAGTGAATAGGATCCAAAAGGCAGCAGTCTGATTGGTTCTAGAGAACAATAGGGTCCAGAATGCAGCAGTCTGATTGGTCCTAGAACAATGCAGCAGTATGATTGGTCCGCAGGAGCCACCTAATCCAGCTCCAGGTGGAAGTGAATCCGCAACCTGATTGAGCTACAGGAGAATCCCAGAATTAGCCAATCACGTGCAGCCCGTTGTGTAAATAATGTATATAAAGCAGATATTTTGGGGGAACTTTCATTCCTCACTACTATGAGCTGAATAAAGAGCATGAAATCCACACTCGACTCTGAGTATATTTCAGGAATACTGTGGATGTAGCATATCTTGATTTTAGTAAGGCTTTCAACAAAGTCCACCATTATATTATGGTGGAATAGCTAGTGAAATCAATGTGCATTGAATAGGAAAAGTGATCCTATTACACTCAGCAGCTTGTGAGGTGCCCAGTTGACGATATCCAAGAAAGCGGCAAATGGAGCGATTTCTGGTGGCAAACAGCCTCCACAAGACTCTGTTGGAGTTCCTTCCTTTCTTTAAAATATTAAGTTTCAGAATGTCGGTTGGAAATTGTAATTAAGCTCCTGTCTTTGGTGTGTTATGCAAATACTCGTTAGCTAGTGGGATTACGTGGGACAAACATCCTGGGGAAACAGTGGGCAACTAATGAGCTTTTGTTAGTTTATACCATAATTGGATAATGGGTTGAGGGTGTTAATAAGAACCCATGCAAATGTCTTTCCCAATTCAAGGCACAGGGGGACTCAGATGATTAAGCAGAAACACGTTTTATTCTTGGCAGAGCAGCTGCACTATTGAGTTCCAATAGTTCCAAGGCTAGCAGTGTGGGAAATGTTTGCCTACACTCTTCAGCCAAAAGAAGACTCTGAGACCAACTCACTAAAAACAATAATAACAGAGGCCCTTCCCCTCAGACATGGCACAAGAGGAAAAATAGGATTGCAATGCATCTGGAATTTCCCATACGTAGCTGGGATTTGGCCCTCGTCCGGGCGGAAATCGCTGAAATGTCTGGGAAAATCTGGGACGTATGGCAACTCATGTTGGAAGTGTAGATTTCAGTGAATTCCCCTTAAAAAACTCAAAACTTCTTTTTTCACATTGTGTAAAACAAAGCTCAAAAAGGGGTGGGTGGGAAGGCTCAACAACTTTGCCAAAAAAAGAGAGCTCAACTTTTGTGTCCGGATTCTCACTTTTTGAAATATGGCAACCCTAGAAGGGATTGATAATAATAATAATAATAATAATAATTTATAATAATTTATTATTTATACCCCGCCCATCTATCTGGGCTTCCCCAGCCACTCTGGGCGGCTTCCAAAAGAATATTAAAATACTATAATACATCAAACATTAAAAGCTTCCCGAAACAGGGCTGCCTTCAGATGTCTTCTAAAAGCCTGGTAGTTGTTGTTCTCTTTGACATCTGGTGGGAGGGAGTTCCACAGGGAAGGCGCCACTACCGAGAAGGCCCTCTGCCTGGTTCCCTGTAACTTGGCTTCTCGCAGTGAGGGAACCGCCAGAAGGCCCTCGGTGCTGGACCTCAGTGTCCGGGTAGAACGATGGGGGTGGAGATGCTCCTTCAGATATACTGGACCAAGGCCGATTGAGGAGGAAAAGTGAATTCTGGCACTAGTTCTTAGTTACAAAGCTCTTGTAATGACCATTAAATTATAAACAGTTTAAGGAAGAGGAGAGGAGCCCCATATCACTGGCTTCTCAACTGGCCTGATGAAATGTTCTGCTTCTCTTCTCTCTGTCTCTTCCAGCCTGATGGAATGGTTGCTACCAAGTGGCCGCTGAGAGGAAGTGGTCTGATGGGTACATGCATATTGGTCATGACACAAGACATCCTATTAAACAAATCCCACTTTTATTTCCTTTTAAAAACTCAGATAAATGTTTTCATATCATCATGCAGTTCTGATATCTTCATAACGTCTCATCATTGCTTTTTCACAGGGTGTGGCGGGGGAGCGGGTATTTATATAATAAAAGTTGAAGACAAATGGAGAGAAGGAATGACACATGTCACTGGATGTGATTACAAAGATAATTATCTCAATCAATCTGTTAGGAATCATGTTAATATAAAGAAATACAAAAGACACACACACACCGAGAGAATGAGGAGTTAATGGGAAAGAAGTGTGTAGAAATAACAGTAATAGCATGGAAATAGGGTATATAAGATAAAGAACAGCATAGAAAAAGAAAGAGAGAAGGGAAAGGGAGAATATGTGTACACACACACACGAAGAGGAAAGGTATAAAGGCCGCTGAGAATAAGGGCTCATCCCCACATTTCCTTCACCCCTGTTTTGATCATATTGTATACCAATTAATTTCCCCAGCTTTTCTCATTGTTCCACAGCTGTGCCTTGCCAAAATCTTATCTTACCCACTGAATGGAAGCTTAGTTAAGCAAAAGCTCTCTTCAGATCTCCCACGCATCTGGTAAGATCCAGTTCAGTAAGATCAGATCTTTGCAAGGCACAGCCACAGAACAAGAAAAGTTCTCAGGCTGGGGGGAATTGGTCAGTTCAAGTACAATCAAAATGCAGGCCAAGCGAAAGTGTGGATGAACCCTAGGTTATAAGGGGAAGTGCTATCTTCAGCTCCATGATTCTAATTTATGAAAAGGACCCACCGTTCTAAGAAATAAAACTGGCTTGCTTGTTTTTAAATGAAAGACATCAACAGCCTGTACTGATTTTCTTGTTGGTTGTTGCAGACAGAAATCATCAGGAAGCGGCTCCACAAGGACATCCCTCACCACCCAGTGATCATGTTGAACTTCTGTCCTGATCTGAGGACGGTCCAACCCAACCTCAGGAAGAGCCACGGAGAATTCATCTTTCTCGTGGACCGCAGTGGGAGTATGAGTGGTGTGAACATCAACCGTGTCAAGGTGTGCATGGCTACCTGATTCTTGCATGTAGAGTGGGAAGGGCATTCGTTCGTGAATGCCTTCTAGTTTCACTGGGCAATTGGGTAGAAAATTGAGTTGCCACACGATGCAATGCTCAGCAGGGGCCTTCTGGTGACAGTTTTCCACGCTGGAAGTTAATGCAGAGTGTGTGGAAAGGAGCATGGGGCAGTTAATGGCAGGGAGCAGGCAACTCTCCCTTAAAAGCAAACTAGAGATAGAATGGCCCTCCTGTGTCTCTCACCCAGGTAAGTAAGTAAGTAAGTAAGCAAGCATTATCAAAGTTCAAAATGCTTTCCCGACTGGTGTAAATACTTAGAGGTTGCAAAACAGGGGTGGTAAGGGGAGGTGGCCTGGGGAGAAGAGGGGTGGCACAGGAGGGTGTGTGTGTGACCTGGAGGGCAGGATGGAGTGAATTGGAGAGCCACATTGCCCCCTGGGCCTGGGGCTCCCTAGCTGTACCTTAGATAATTGTTCTTGAGTCTTTTTTAAAAGACTCAGCAGTGCAAAGTCTTTTCCTTTTATCGAAATCCAATTCAGTTTCAAACAAACCCCAGTTACCATTTTATTACTTTCTGATGAACACCCAGTTTTTTTTATCTCCCCCCCCCCCCCCGCAGCACGTACCATCCTCTAGATCAATCCATCCAGAGACTGCAGCAGCATCGATACGTAAAGGCTAATCAAACTTTCTGCGTTTTTCTTTCCCTGAGAGCCACCAGATTAATTCAGAGATAAGAGAGGAAGGGAAGCTGCAAACATGAACAAACACAGGGAGATCTTGGTGGTCCTGTTTGCACGTCACTGTGTTCCCAGCCCCGTTCTCATGGCGACGGCTGATAGCTGCAGCCTCAAGCGATTGCTTTTATTAAAATGTGTTTGTGTTTAGTTTTGTTACTTTATTATATCGTTATCATGCTTTTCAGACAGTTTCAGGTGGAATTTCCTGAAAATGTAGAATTTATCCACACAGATTCCACACACACATTCCATTCTCCCTCCTTGATTTTGGAGAGAAGGCAAGCTACGTATATTTTTTTACCAGTTCTGCAAAACTGGTAAAAAAATATATCATGCTTTCTAAGCATGGGACAAGTGCATACCCTCCAACATGTTGCAGCAGAAAACCGGGATTCCTGTTTTCTGGGGCCATGTTATCGTGCAAGTCATATGGCCTGCACAAGACCCCCAAAATGGGAGGTCCCAATTTAATCAGGACAGTTGAGGAATATGCAAGTGCAAATCCGGATTAGCCCTGTAATTAGGCTAGGCCTGTGCCATTGGGCTGGGAATGGTGTACAGTTAAGCAAAATCTGTGCTGACGAATGGATGCACATTTAAATCAGGCATGTGCTGTTGAATGGGAGGCGATGCACAGTTAAGCCAAGCCTGTGCTGTTAAATGGGCTCTGTGCTGCTGTTGAAAGGGGGAGTAAAATGCAATTAAACCAGGTCTGCATTGCTGAATGGGAGGTGATGGACAGTTAAACTGGCTGTGTGCTGTTGAATTTGGAACAATGCACAGTTAAGCCAGGTCTGTGTTGGGGAATAAAATCAAACCAGGTCTGCATTGTTGGATGGGGAGTGATACACAGCTAAGCCAGGACTGTACGTTGAATGAGCAACAAGGCTGAAGTTCAGGTGTTGCACAGGCATTGAACCAGCGATGCAGGCATTACAAAACTTTCAGATATTTAGAAGTTGTGTATTCTTTTCACTTTTGGAAAGCATAAGCACCCTGCTCATATGATTGCTGGCCTTCTCATAAAGCAGAAATATAAATGGGAAAATCAAAATGGTTTGTTTTACCCCCTGTTATCAGCACATTCTTGTCATCCCCTTCCCCACGTCACCCACCCAGCTAGGAAAATGGAGGGTGAAGTTCTGCAGCTATTTACTCTCCTTCAAAGCAGTGACTCATCGTCAGTGCATCAATCCCTCATTCAAGACGCAGGGAGGTCTCCTTTTCCTTGTCCTTCATTCAGCTAAGTGACTTCTTAATTATTCTTCAGGGATTCTGCTCTGTCATCCTGACAATGGCATATAATGTTGTTTAATGTGCTCCTTCAGCCACAGCTGAGCACTCTTGATAGCTCTTCCATGCTGAACAAAGTCAAAGCGGGTGGAATAGTTCAGGTTTGGGGCTTTGGCACTCGCTCGCTCCTCTTGCCAAGCGGTGCACTGGAAGCGGCATTTATGTGACTGAACAAATGACGTATGGGAGGTTTCCTGATTGGGAAACGCCTACCGTACGGAGAACAGGGGCCTCTGTGTGTTGTGAATATGTGTGTGCTTAGGGTGCGGGTCTGTGTTGTGGTCTTTCTCTCGCTTTCTCTCTGAACCATAGCTCCCTCAGCCATTTTCTGCTGCACTTGGAGCACCCAGGAAGCTTGGCCAACTAGCTGTACCCATGAAGAGCAAGAACTTTGGGGCGCCTGTAGCTCGCTTCCAGGAGGGAAACCTATTTATATGGAGGTTGTAGATGTTGACAGCAGTCACGAAATTAAAAGATGCCTGCTGCTTGGGAGAAAGGCGATGACAAACCTAGACAGCATCTTAAAAAGCAGAGACATCACCTTGCCAACAAAGGTCCGTATAGTTAAAGGTCCGTATAGTTAAAGCCATGGTTTTCCCAGTAGTGATGTATGGAACTGAGAGCTGGACCCTCAAGAAGGCTGATCGCTGAAGAATTGATGCTTTTGAATTATGGTGCTGGAGGAGACTCTTGAGAGTCCCATGGACTGCAAGAAGATCAAACCTATCCATTCTGAAGGAAATCAGCCCTGTGTGCTCACTGGAAGGACAGATCGTGAAGCTGAGGCTCCAGTACTTTGGCCACCTCATGAGAAGAGAAGACTCCCTGGAAAAGACCCTGATGTTGGGAAAGATGGAGGGCACAAGGAGAAAGGGACGAGAGAGGACGAGATGGTTGGACAGTGTTCTCGAAGCTACAAACATGAGTTTGACCAAACTGCGGGAGGCAGTGGAAGACAGGAGTGCCTGGCGTGCTCTAGTCCATGGGGTCACGAAGAGTCAGAAACGACTAAACGACTAAACAACAACAACAAAAATGTTGGTGGGTTGCCAGCCAGCCCTGCATACCCTCCAACATTGATGAAAATAGGGGCATCATAAATATTATTATTATTATTTCTTATTTATAATATTTATACCCTGCCCATCTGACTGAGTTGCCCCAGCCACTCTGAGCAGCTTCCAACATATATGGGCAACATATATGGGCAATCAGTGGCAAAGGAGATGCTTTATAGGCAGAAGATCCCTCATTCAATCCTTGGTTTTTCAAGCTAATATTACCAGCTATTACTTCAACAATTCTCTGATGAAAATAGGGATGTCCTGTTCAACAACAACAACAACAACAACATTTTTATTATTTATACCCTTCCCATCTGTCTGGGTTTCCCTGGCCACTCTGAGCAGCTTCCAGCATATATGAAAACATAATAAAACAATACAGAGCTGCCTTCAGATGTCTTCTAAAGGTTATCTCCTTGGCTTGGGGGTCACATAACTCCACACCCTTCAACGTTTCTCCAGTGAAAATAGGGACGTCCTAAGGAAGAGTGGGACATTATGGCAATGCGCCCACCTGAGAGGTGCCGGAACTGAGTTCTGGTGAGTTCCAGCTGAAAAAAGGCCTGGGACTTCCTGTACAGAAAGCAGGTGCTCCATCACGGAGCTTTTCAACTCAGCTTAAAATGAGCAACTTTGCAGCAGGCTGAGCCTGCTAAGGTTTTGTTGTGTTGTACATTCAGAAGCAGCAGAGGAGGGAGGGAGAAGGCAACCTTGTCTAGTCTGAGGAAAGTGTAATTTCTGTTTATGAACAGCAAGATTGGAAATGGGTCGCCTGAAGGGAATATTATCTTCATATAAACAAGATTATGCCTGGGTGGGTGGAATAATGGTTTTGGGTGCAGCGGAAACCCATTGTCTCTTTGTATTGCTAATGGCAGCTCCCTGAATGGAAATCAGAAATCTAGATTTGTTTCTTAAACTCCCAAGGGGGGTGGGGGTGGAAACATGTTCTGGTGCTAGGGAGAAAAATACCTTTGAAGGTGAGTAAATAGCTGACAATGATTCACCTTGTATGTATTTAATTTTTAATCTTCCTTGTTAGCCTGTCTATTTATCTACATCTCCTGGAAGAGCTCAGGAGGGGACCCTGTTGAATTGTGTGTGCTTGATGTTGAGCATCTGCTGTTGAATGACTGTGAATGTGTCTGTCACTTTGGGTTCTCCTGGAGTCATAGAATCATAGAATTGTAGAGTTGGAAGGGATCCCAAGGGTCATCTAGTCCAACCCTCTGCAATGCAGGAATATGTTCTTGAGAATAGTCTGGAATATCATTTTAAACAAATCACCCTGGCCCTGGGTTGTTCCCGGGTGGGGTAGTAATTTGTCTGCAGGGGTGCTGCTTGGGAGGCCATGGCACCTCCAGGGCAGAAATCCAGGATCTCACCCTGCAGAGCAGAACACATTTTGAATTAAGTGGAAATAAAACACTTTACCAACTACAGTGGTACCTCGAGTTAAGAACTTAATTCGTTCCGGAGGTCCCTTCTTAACCTGAAACTGTTCTTAACCTGAGGTACCACTTTAGCTAATGAGGCATGCCACTGCGCAATTTCTGTTCTCATCCTGAAGCAAAGTTCTTAACCTGAGGTACTATTTCTGGGTTAGCGGAGTCTGTAACCCGAGGTACCACTGTAAAGAGAGGGGCCCTTCTAAGACTGCAAAACTCAGGGTCACCTAACTTTAGACCTTAGGGCCAAATCCCACAATTCTGTTGTTGCAGGACCCCCTAAAGTGACAGACAATGCTAAAAAGCACAACTTGATGTTGAAAAGTGGAGAATTGGACTTCAGATTGGGAAAATAAGAAACTGAGAGCAACTGAAACTGGCAGATTCACCAGTCCCTAGCCCAGGGTCTAAAACATGGGTAGGCAAACTAAGGCCCGGAGGCTGGATCCGGCCCAATCACCTTCTAAATCCAACCCGCGGATGGTCCAGGAATCAGTGTGTTTTTATACGAGTAGAATGTGTCCTTTTATTTAAAATGCATCTTTGGGTTATTTGTGCGGCATAGAAATTCATTCTTTATTTTTCTTCAAAATATAGTCTGGCCCCCCACAAGGTCTGAGGAACAGTGGACCGGCCCCCTGCTGAAAAAGTTTGCTGACTTTTCCAGCAAACTACTAGTGGAATCTTGTAGAACTTTGGTGCTAATTTCTGTGTTATCATCTGGGAGGGGGAGAGGAATCTATCTATTTGCAACCCAGAAAATCCTGGGAGTTTTGCATCATGATTTCATGCGATGGAATTCATGGTTGTCTTCCGCCATACTTTTTTTATGCCATTTAAATTTCTGGTGTGACGTGGCATTATGTTGATCAAAAGGTCACAGTTACATACAGTGGTACCTTGCAAGACGAATGCCTCGCAAGACGGAAAACTCGCAAGATGAAAGGGTTTTTGGTTTTTTGAGTTGCTTCGCAAGACGACTTTCCCTATGGGCTTGCTTCGCAAGATGGAAACGTCTTGCAAGTTTGTTTCCTTTTTCTTAAAACCGTTAATACAGTTGCGACTTGACTTCGAGGAGCAACTCGTAGCATGCGGTGTGGTAGCCTTTTTTGAGGTTTTTGAAGACTTTGGTGATTTTTGAAGCTTTTCCAAAACTTTTCCGACACCATGCTTCGCAAGATGAAAAAATCGCAAGACGGAAAAACTCGCGGAACGAATTAATTTCATCTTGCGAGGCACCACTGTAATGCAATGGGCAATGCAGTGTGAAAGGAGCATAGGAATCCAGGAAAACAGCAGCGCTGCAAGTTGGCTGAAAGGGGAGGGCTTGCAAATAAAACAAATATCGCAAGGACGCCATCAATCTCCACTGCTCTTTGATCCGAAGGAATCAAAGCTTTAGCTCCCTTAGCTGTGCTGGTCCCCAGAATTTCTCACTGTTCAGGGAAGTGGGCAGCCTGCTGCCATGCTGGTGTGTGTGTGTGTGTGTGATTGTGAGAGCCTACTGCTTCTTGAAGGAGCCCATTTCCCTGCTGAAACTTACGTACTGAAGTTCTCACCCTGGGCCAGCAGGGGGATACTGTAGATAGTTTCACTCAGGTCCGCATATGCAAATAAGGAATTGAAAGTGACGTTCAGTGATTGGATAGTTACTGGAAGTTGTTACTATTGCTTTGTAGTTGAGGTCTGTATAAGCAGGTTGGCTGATCCCTTCAGTTCAGTTCTGTTCTGGCCTGTGAATAAACAAGAGCTGTCTGAAGAATCGCTGTGTCGTCTGATATGTTCACCCACAACTTAACAGGAAAAGTCCTCAACATTAAGAGCCCTCTACTAATGTTCTGCTGAAACGCAGTTTCCACTCTGGAGCAAGACAGGCCATTCAGGTAGCTGAAAAGCATGATTTTCTTAATCTTCATCTCTCCAGACTAAACATTCCCAGCTCTTTCAACTCTCCCTCAAAGGACTTGGTTTGCAGACCCCTCAGCCGCTATTTGTCTTGTTAAGTTTCCACTCCTTGTTTTCTTTTCTTCCCCAAAGGAAACTAAAGCTGTCTCTGGACTTTACTTCTGGGAAAAATAGGACCACATATATGCTGCTACCAAGCAGAAGTCCTGACTTTCTGTTCCTTTCTTCGCTTTGCCAGGATGCCCTCCTGGTCATTCTGAAGAGTCTGATGCCAACGTGTTTATTCAATGTCATTGGATTTGGATCGACCTTCAAGGCCTTGTTTCCTTCCAGCCAGACCTACTGCGAGGTGAGGGAACGCTTTCTGTCTCTTCTATTTTAAATCTCCTTTTCCTCAGAGATCTTAACCCATCATGAGCAGACTTTGTGGTGACTCCGTAATTCCTTTCAGAGTTTCACATGGTAAGGGAGCAGTAGGGACTTGCTAGCTGGATCTTCCTCCTTCATCACCCCCCCCCCTCAACTAGGTCTGTCACCCTCCATTCACTGAATAATGAACAGGATTTTCTGGAACCAGTTCACTGTGTGTAGATTAGGCCCATGTGACTAAATGTCTTATGATCTCAATGTTGAACTTATCCACATGATGCTATCTCCCCCATCTAATTCTCATCTATCTCATTGATCTTGATGAGAGATGAGTTATCCGCCCCCTCCCCCAGTTCTCTCTTCTTATATGAACGTAAGAAGTTCCCTGCAGGATCAGGGCAATGGCCCATTTAGTCTAGCAACCTTTTCTCACTAGCCAACCAGATGCCTCTTTGAAGCCCATAAGGCAGCCTTTCTCAACCTGTGGGTCTCCAGATGTTGTTGAACTACAACTCCCATCACCCCTAGCTAGCAAGGCCAGAGCTCAGGGATGATGGGAATTGTAGTCCAACAACATCTGGCGACCCACAGGTTGAGAACCACTGCCATAAGGAATACCAAAGTGCTCTCTCCCCACTTGCAATTCCCAGAAGCTGGCGTTCAGTGTCTCCATCACTGAAGATGGAACATAGTCAGTTTGTGCCTAGTAGCCATTGATAGCCATATGCACCATGACTTTTTTCTAATCAGCTTTTATATCCATCCAAGTTAGTGGCCACATATGCTGTCATTATACTTTGGTTTAGAGAAAAGGCAAGAGGTGCCATGATAGAAATTTATAAAGTTGTGCATGACATTGAGGAAGCTAATAGAGAAGAGTTTTTCTCCCTCTCTTATAAGACCAGAACTTGGGGACATCAAACCCCCGGCTCTGAGCCTTGTCCCCTTGGACGTTTCCCAGCTGGTGCCTCCCTCCACCTTTCTGCATCCATGACAATTGTGTTGCAGCTGATAGAATCAATGGCGTTGTGTGTTTGGTTGCAGCACCATGCTTACAATAGTTTTCCCATTTTGCAGGTGTGTTCTCAAGGCCCCAAAAGGTTGGTTGCTCCTCACCTAGCATAACCCTTACATAATCCTGCCCCATATCCTTCCTCCTGTTCATGTGAACCCCTCCACAAATGCCAGTTTGCCTTTTGTCCATGTGTGAGCCCCCTGGGTGGTTCTTGTGCTCCTCTGCAGGAGAACTTGGCCGTTGCATGTGAAAGCATAAAGAAGATCCGTGCTGACATGGGTGGCACCAACGTCTTGTCGCCCTTGAGGTGGGTCATCCGGCAGCCGATCCACCAAGGCCACCCACGGCTGCTCTTCCTGCTGACTGATGGCGCCGTCAGCAACACGGGAAAGGTCATCGAGCTTGTCCGGAACCACTCGTTCTCCACTAGGTAGAAGCCCCTTCTGGCATTTCCTCTCCCCCTTGCTTCTGCAACAGCCTCTCCCATCCTCCACCGTATTGACAAATCTATTTATTGACTTGTGACCTTTATGCCAGGCTGAATGCAAAGGCAGATCTTCCCAGGACCAAGTGACTTTCTGGGCTGTCAGTTTGGGGCTTTGTGGAGGCTGAAAGCTCTTTCTGTGAGCTTCCAAACTCTCTGTCTGACTGTACTATCATGTCTCCTTCATGTTTAAGACTGGAAGAAAGCTAAAGGAGTGGTGGACAGAACTTGTGGTGGGGAGGGAGGAGAATTGGCACTGTAGGCTAATAAACTGTTATAGGATTTGATAGGTGTCAGTCTGGATGATAATCGAGTGGGTCTCTTCCAAACTACAAAGCCACTTCCGGGCCTGCCCAGGAGTTTGGGGTTTGCGTGGCTCACGCCCCCCCCAATGAGCGGGGGCTGGTCCAGCCCGCGAGAGCAGGGAATCCGCGGTTGAGTCTGCCCCCCCAGCCAGCATCAGCTGGCTGGCTGGGGGTGTGGGCTGCCCTATTTAGGGCCGGCACAGGAGGGGGCTTGCCCTTTTTTCGCCGGCTCATCCACGTTTTCCACCACCTCCCTCCCTTTAGCTGGGCTTAGGTAGGTCATTGACTTTGCTATGGACTTCGGTCTGTCGCCGCAAGGGGCATGGTAGGAATTTTTCCCAATTGGCGATTTCTGGCCTTTTGGTTTTTCGCCTACCTCGTAGCAACTCGTCACAACTTCTCTGCATTGGCGGTAGGCATTGGTAAGAAGGGGTTAAGAGGATGTGTGGGGGGGGAGGAACGCCATCACCTCCCCCCAGCGACCGAAGGGTGGTCCGTTAAAGGACTCCGGGGGGCGTGGCCCTGTCCGAAGCCTATGGAGGTGAGGGCCAAAGGCACGCCCCAGAGCGGTGACCCGGGGGAGCTCCTAGTCGACGTGCCTCGGCGGGAGACTCCCCCGATATAAGGTTAACCCTTCCCCGTGTCTCCAGCAAATGGGCTGGAGCCGGATAGTCGTTAGGACCAATGCCTAAGCCAATGCCTCTCATTCCTGAATTCAATAAAGTTGTGGCCTAATTCGCCCAATTAACCTTAAATTATGGTGTCTCGTGTCTTTATTTATCCTGGGGGGGCGGGAACTCGCCACGCAATTCTGTATCTGTGAGGGCAGAATCTATAAGAGGGAACCTGGTCAGACCATTCCCTTTGTTAAGGTAATGGCTCTAGCTGGCCAGCTTAAGTACCCATCCTTTGCATCTTAAAGATCGACCTCTGTTGCCATAGAGACAAATGAGTGAGCCTTTTCACACTTCACCTGGCTGGATGCTGCTTCATCCTAGAATGCTGCACAAATAAAAAGTAGTAAAATAGAATAAAAAGCCATAGAAACTAGTTAAAAAGAATAATTAAGATGCACCAGAACAGATTGTTGTGCTGTGGGTTAAACCACAGAGCCTAGGGCTTGCCGATCAGAAGGTTGGCAGTTTGAATCCCTGCGACGGGGTGAGCTCCTGTTGTTCGGTCCCAGCTCCTGCCCACCTAGCAGTTCGAAAGCACATCAAAGTGCAAGTAGATAAATAGGTACCGCTCCGGCAAGAAGGTAAACGGCGTTTCCGTGTGCTGCTCTGGTTCGCCAGAAGCGGCTTAGTCATGCTGGCCACATGACCCGGAAGCTGTATGCCGGCTCCCTCGGCCAATAAAGTGAGATGAGCGCCGCAACCCCAGAGTCAGTCATGACTGGACCTAATGGTCAGGGGTCCCTTTACCCTTTACCTTAGAACAGATTTTGAGGCAGCAATTAGAGTACAGCTTGCCCTAACGGCATAGGAGCCAGCTCCTAGCAGCTGGAGTCCCTTCACCCACCCACCCCCACAATAAATGACAGTGGCCAGCATCTTCTGTGCCTTAGTTTCCAAAGGTCTGTCTGGATAGGAAGAAAGGAACAGGAAGGAAGAATAACAAGGAGGGATCCTGTCTAATCCTGCTAAGGAGGGAATTTCACAATGCAGGAGCAGCCACAGAAAAGTCTATCTCTCATGCCACCACCAGCTGTGCTTCTGCTGTTGATGGGAGCAAAATTCATTTGGAATTCTAGCCTTGCAGAACTTTCCACTGCCAGAGTCTCGGCATTTTCCCTTCACCACATTGCGGACGTATCCAATCCCTCGGTCTTTTCCTCTTGCAGGTGCTATACTTTTGGCATTGGGCAGAATGCCTGTCGGAGGCTGGTGAATGGCCTGGCTGCCGTGTCCAAAGGAAGTGCGGAATTCCTGGTCGAGGGAGAGAGGTTGCAGCCAAAGGTACTGCTGTGGTTTTCCATCTCCTTTGCACCCATGAGAAACAACTGGGGCCTGCAAGAAAGGGTTGCAATGTGGGCTGCTCCTCTTCACTCTTCCAGCCAGCCTGCTGAGTGACAGGATTATGAGAGGGGAAGAAAAAGTTCTCTACCTCTCTCTCCCCCCAACCCCACATACTTTCCATATGAAATGCATTGATCTATAAACTTTCTCTATCACATGACCCCCAAAATGTAACTCCTAGGGAAGATACTGATGGGGAAGATAGTGCAGATCCTCCCACCTTTATCAGACTCAGAGAGCAAGCTCCCAAGCATACCTAACTCACTGAGCTTGCAAAAACCATGTTTGCACAACCTGGTAAGAGCCCTTTACGATAGCATAGCTAGTTTCTCCAAGGAAGAGAAGTCAAGTACAGTACAGGCTTTGCCAAGCTACCTAAGGCTTCAGATCAGGGGTCCCCAAACTAAGGCCTGTGGGCTGGATAAGGCCACCGCCCATTCTTACCGGCGCTGTGCTGCACGGCTGCCCACTTTTGGGTCGGAGGAGCACTGGAAATAACTTGTGCGCATGCGCAAGTGTTATTTGCACACGGGCAAGCGTTATTTCTGGTGCACATCTGGGTTGGAGGAGGCCCGTGCACATGCACACAAGCTATTTCCGGTGCTCCTCCGACCCGGAAGTGCGCCGGAAATAGCATGTGCGCACACATATGGGCATTCACTCCCTCGCCCTCCACCCCGCCATGCGATTGGCGCTGGAGACACCTGCCTGAGGCACGGTAAGTTTGCTGACCCCTGCTTCAGATGGTCTCAGCAATCTGCTGCAATGTTTATCCAACAGGGGCCACTGAGAGCTGTCCAGGGTCCTGATGTCTGTTGAAGCTGCTTCTGCCTGCCTTAGCCTGCCTGGGAAAACTATCTGATGGCTTCCAGTTCCCTGGCCCCAAGCTCTGACACAACAGGCTATTGGGCTCCCCTTGAACCCAAGGAGGACTGTTGGGGAATGATGGGAAGTGTGCTATGGCAATAGGTACCCCCTATCCTTCTGGTGATATTGTCCCTGCCCACTCAATACACTTGAGTGTACGCTGCCTCCACTTCGTCCTCTGCACGACTGTACAAGAATCACATGCAGAAGTAAAAGAAGACAGATCTAATTTGGAACACTCCAAAAAAAGTTTTATATATATATATATTAGGGCCTACAGATGGCAATTTGTGAACCATGATTCAGAAAGTGGTGGTTGGAGGTGGGTTCTCAGACATGCTCCAAAGTGTCTAAGCAACTTTAAATCTACTCCAAAGCAAATCAATTGCAAGAGTTTTTCCACTGTGGAAATGTGCATAGATCTGCTCCCAACATCCCTCTGTAAGTCTGGGGAAGGGGCAAAGTGTGCCCCGAAGACCAACCACTACTTCCAAGTCCATCTTCCCAAATTAGGGACTAGAATCATCAGAATGATGGCCCCAGTGCACCCATTTGTGTGTGCCTGACAGTTTTCACCTGACTTTAGGAAGCCAGTGCAAACTTTGAAGTGCTTTGGAATCAGTTGTTTTCTATCATTAAAAATTTTTGATTGGAGTCAGCCAGCGCAGGGAAGATGGTCGATGAGCTCAGTTTAAGTTTGGTCACCCTACTGCAGAGCAACCTGAGCCAAAGACAAAACTAGCAATTAAGATCAGCACACTTTTTAAATAACATTTTTAAATTAGTTTTCCAATATACCCCCCAAAATAACCAAATTATAGCAATAACAAACTATACAATTATCAAAGTGCCAATCAACTCCCAATTATTACATTCTAGTGAAAGTGGCTCCCCTCATGATGGTTTGGGTGCATTTCCAATCTTATATCAGTGTGTTCCATAATCCTAATTAATGTCAGTTACATTTCAGTAATAATAATAATCCCTTCGTTAACAGCTACATAATTATTTTCATTCGTGATGTTACAGTATATAAATTTATAAAGCTTTAAGTGAGGAACTTAAACTATTACCTTTATTGTGCCCTGGGTGTGAAAACTCTTATATCCATGGAGAATCCTTCTGTCCATACAGTATATGGTGTTGTCTCTTTCACTTCCCAGCTGTTGTTTTCTCCCATTGTGGCTTGGGGCAGAACTGAATCTCAAAGTTTCTCAGAGGTCTTATTTTTCCGTCCCTTGCTTCAGTGTCTCAGAACAGATGACAGTCTGCTAGAAACCATTTCGTCTCACTAGTAAAACATGTTGCAGATCTTTGCCATTTTCCTCTCAGCCTAGGAAAAGGTGTGCAGTTTTTGAATGCACTGCAGATTTAATACTCCTTTCCAACTCCCAGAATCTCTGCAACGTTCTTATCACAGCCCCCAAATTCTTTTCCTTCCAGCAAGAGATTTATGGCCCAATTAAACTTTATTTTAAGATTACATTCTGTCAGTAGCACACAAAAATCTCAGTCTTTTTCCTTGTCTGTTGTTTTTAAACTGAAGTGAGGGGAATTATTCTGTCTTTCCAACAGACCTGCTTCATCTTCCCCTCCCCCTCCTTTCTTCATTTCAGATCACACGCAGTTTCCATTTTTGTTTGTTGTTATCAATATTACTCCAGTGTCCTAAGGTCAGCACACTTGGGAACAGCAGACAACTGCATGCAGCTGAGCCAGGCTTTCTCAAGAATTGTTTCATTTGCTGGCTCATACTTGGGATCATTGATCAAAGGTACCTTCAGGGTGCACCAGAGCAGCCTTTGCCATCCTGGTGCCTCCAGATGTTTAGAACTACGGCTCCCATCAGCTCCAGGCAACAGTGCCCCCATGTAGAAGGTTCCAATTTTTCACTTTGGGCATCTCCAGGTACCACTTGAAACCCTGGCAGGTAGACAGCACTGAGCTAGTGTGGTGTAGTGGTTAAGAGCGGTAGACTCGTAATCTGGGGAACCGGGTTCGCGTCTCCGCTCCTCCACATGCAGCTGCTGGGTGACCTTGGGCTAGTCACACTTCTCTGAAGTCTCTCAGCCTCACTCACCTCACAGAGTGTTTGTTGTGGGGGAGGAAGGGAAAGGAGATTGTTAGCCGCTTTGAGACTCCTTAAAGGGAGTGAAAGGCGGGATATCAAATCCAAACTCTTCTTCTACGTGAAGCATAGGTCATAGTGCTTAAGGAAGCTTCCTGTATTTATTATGAGCATCGTAGCCTATTGGTAGACATCATCCTTTGCCTTCAGAAGGTCCCAGGTCCTTGGCATCTACAGGCAGAGGCTGGGGAAGGCCTGAAATCTCAGAGAGCCTCTGCTTGTCTGTGTAAACAATCCTGAGTTAGAGGAATCAATGGTCTGATTCAGTATAAGGCAGCTTTCTAAGCTCCTATACAGTTTGCTGCATCTTTCAGTTCCTTTGTGTATTTCCCCCGACACACACACAAAACACACACACACCCCTGATGTGCTTGTATCGTGTATCAGGCAGCTTCTGATATTCCTAGCTTGTCCAAAGGTTTGTGTGCTTGGATTTGCATGTGTGTTTGATAAAGAGGCATCCATCCTCCACTCAGGGATGTAGCTCCTTGAGATGCTAGGGGGAGTAAAATCCCTAGAAGAAAATAAAGGATATTGTGCATTGAACAAACAAAATTCTAACAAGAGGCAAAAATCCATAAGGCAGGGATTTGTCAGAGGCAGGGTCCAGAAAACAGAAACGATGCCTGAAAAATAGAAACAGGCAGAGCACATCTGAGGCCAGCCCTGTCCTTTGTCATTCTGTTTTCTGGGGGAAGGGCCATAACTCAGTGAGAAGAGCCCCTGCTTTGCTTGTTGAACATCCCAGGTTCACTCTCCATCATCTCCAGGTGACAGACCCTTGCCTGAAACCTTGGGAGCCACTGCCAGTCAGTGGTAGGCAGTACTGAGCTAGGTGGACAATAGCCATCAAATGTGGTAGCCGCACAGTCTCTGCAGTGTCTCCTTTCACCCCATCATCCCACTAGAAAAAGCATTCCCACCCTCCACCCCCCTGGATTTCATTACGATTCAAAATTCCTCCAAGATGCTCTGGTCTTTTAATGTGGCAACACATCGCTAGTCTTGCAGTTGAGTCTAAAACTTCTGATCATCTAATGATCTCTCCCCCCCCCACACCCCCGTCTCAGAAGGACTGCGGAGGCAGGCGGTTTGGCAGCTGGTGCTCTTTTTCCACTCCCTGACGCCCACACATTGAGTGGGCCCAGTTATGTCGGATGAAAAGCGCCCCCGCGGACCAGTCACCGGAGAGATGCAATTTACCCTTTTGTGTGTAAGAGCAGGGAGATTGGCGGGGGAGTGCGTGTGTCTATGTGCAGGAAGAAAGAACCGTCTTGGTTGGAGAAAGGGGTTTGCTTTCACCACATCGGAGACAATAGAAGCAGAGGAGACGTAACTTGCTCAAGACGTGGAACCAGCCCTTCTGTTTCCTACCCAGGGCCTGAACCTGGGTGTTCAGTAGCCGGAAATTGGGGGGTGGGGAGAGCAATAAAACAGGGCTGCTTTTTTTTTGCCTCAGTGTGATGTCAAAGCAACTTGGTGTGTCAGATTCCCCACACCGACAACTCTTTAAGTGTTAGGCTTTTTCAGACCACCGGCGTCAAAAGCCATTGTTTTCCTCATGCCATGCCCTGGAATGACGCTCAGTCTGGGCCTTGTGGAGGATGGTTGTCAGACTTGGAAGAAAAGGATAAAAGCTCTGCTTCTGCCAGATGCCCCTGAAGAGTCCCCCCCCCCGCTGGAGAACTTAGGTGAACTGGTTCCCCTGTCTCCCAATTTCCGGGCCCACTAATAAGGTAAAGGTAAAGGGACCCCTGACCATTAGGTCCAGTTGTGACCGACTCTGGGGTTGCGGCGCTCATCTCGCTTTATTGGTTGAGGGAGCCGGGGTACAGCTTCCGGGTCATGTGGCCAGCATGACTAAGCCACTTCTGGCGAACCAGAGCAGCGCACGGAAACACCGTTTACCTTCCCGCCAGAGTGGTACCTATTTATCTACTTGCGCTTTGAGGTGCTTTAGAACTGCTAGGTTGGCAGGAGCAGGGACCGAGCAACGGGAGCTCACCCCGTCACAGGGATTCGAACAGCTGGCCTTCTGATTGGCAAGTCCTAGGCTCTGTGGTTTAACCCACAGTGCCACCTGCATCCCTTGGGCCCACTAATAGGGATGGACAAATCTGCTCTTCCAGGGGCTTTTCAGTTTCTCATTTCCCCCACCCTGAAATACTGACCTCCACCTTTCTTGAAGTACTTTGTGCTTGATTGACTTTTTTTTATTACACACCCTCATGGAAATTGGTCAGCCATTTCGGTGCAAATGTCTCCTAATAAACACTTTTTTCTTTGTACACAGTTTTGATATATATGCACCTTCCATCCTCAAAGCAGTCCCTTAACATCATGCACATTGTTTGCATGTTGTTTTCAGGGATATTTGGATTTTTAGGCACTCTTGCCCTTAATAGGTGCACTTTTGCACACGTTATTGGGCAGGAAAACTGCAAAATTTGGAGAAGGGTGAATTTCAAAGGATAGGTGTCTTTCAGTTTGCCTGTTGGTTCAAGAAGTGCAGATTAGACTGCTTCTCATTAAAATTCAAGTAACATAAAAGTTCTCCTCCATCCCACCTCACGGAGTGAAGATGTTTGGGAGGCTAGTTTGCATATAATTTTAAGAGTGGCTGTCACCAATATTTGAAAAAATCTATCTCCTTGTTGTTGTTTTTTTCCTGGCTTGGCAAGTATTTGAGCACTCCAACTGCTACAACGTCCTCTCACACACGCAATTTCCCATATTATCCAAGCATCCCTCTTTACCAGGAATGCCCACTCCTTCCTGATCCCTGTCCAATGGCCATCACAGTATCATCATCAGGGCATTATCAAGACCAGGCATAGGCGAACTCAGCCCTCCAGATGTTTTGGGACTACAATTCCCATCATCCCTGACCACTGGTCCTGTTAGCTAGGGATGATGGGAGTTGTAGTCCCAAAACAGCTGGAGGGCCAAGTTCGCCTATGCCTGAGCAAGACACTCGAACTCAGGATGCAAGGGAGAAATGTGCTAAGAGGAAGGCACGCTTGGCAAATCCACACCGTGATCAACTCCCGCCCGGAAACCAATGTCCCCACTGTGGAAGTTCATGTGGGTCCAGAATTGGCCTCCACAGTCACTTATGGACTCACTGTTAAAACCATGTTTATGGAAGACAATCTTACTTGGCTACAAGTGATCACCAAAGAAGAGAAGAAGAAGAAGATTATTAGAGCAAAAGGAGGGAAAGTATATCGCTCCTTGGGTTCCTTGGAGACATTGGATGGATGTTGAGGTGCAACCCTGCTTGCTTAGAAGGCTCTGTGTGGTATTAAGACAGATATAGTGAGAGTCCAGATTCCTAAATTGTCTCTGTCCCTTTGATCTCTGTGCTGACCTGTCCTTTGAAGTTAAAGTGTCATTTAAGTTTCATCCTCTTTCCCCTTCCACCTCCTCTCACACTTTTTCTGGACTTGCAAGCGCCAAGGCCACATTGCTTGTATCTTCCAAGAAAGAAGGGGCAATAGGAGCTTCTTTGTTTCTCCAACTAGTTAGTTAGCTAGGGCTATAGAACTCTTTCCAAACAAGAGTGCCCTTCCCTTAATAAACATAAGCTTCCTTATCTTACACGTAGTCTGAGTGCCTTCCAATTAAAGGTGTGCTCCAAGCAAGGATTCATTTTGCTAAAGGTAACCTCCTGCTGTTGCATACAAACACCAAATGCTGACAGGAGGAAAGGTCAGATAAAAATGCCATGGATATATAAATGTTCACAAAATGTTTGGACCTCCCAACTCACAGTCCAGAAATGACACTTCTAATCAGGGTTGGTCCAGCTGGAAAAGAAGGTTTCAAGAGTCTGTGGACCACCGGCTCATCTCCTTCCAGTCTGGATTGTATAAAATCTTGCCAGCTCACAAGTTTTGCACAACCTTTAATATATATTTTTTGCAGATCAGCCAAGTAGAGGGGGGGAGAGAGAGAGAGAGGGGGGGGGGCAAATGAGGGGATGGAATTTATGTGTCTCCAAAAGCTTGAGGTTCTCCGCTCTGTATCCTTGAGATGAAAGCAAGCATTTATAGGGCCATTAATTTGGCCATTGGACTTCTTTGAAAAAAGCAGAGTCAACTGCTCCCAGGGGATACATGGAGCAGCCTCATCTAAAACAACACTTCCCTGTTTTGCTGTGTGATTTATAGCAGAAGGGTTCACTGTCTTTTGCCTCTGAAAGCAGCTCCTGAACCATGGCCTGGTATGGAGAGCAGAGGATTCTGAGGACTGCAGCATTGCAGACAACATTTTTTTTTTTTTAAGTAAGTGTAGTGTTTAGTGCACCCTGTTCCTGGAGCCCTAACACAAAGGAAGGAAGCAGCATAGGAATGAATCAAAATCAACAAAGCAGCTGTGGCACTTTCAATACATTTTAAAATACATTTATTGCATTGTAAGCTTTCGGAAGGTTGGAGTTAGGAGTGAGCAGATTCACCACCCTAACACACACACACACACACACACACACACACACACAGAGAGAGAGAGAGAGAGAGAGAGAGAGTTCATAGGTTTGCTCTGTCTTGTGTTTCACTCCTCCTGAACTCTGTTTAATTGGAGCCATACTCGGCAGTTTCACTCATACATAAGGATGGCAGAATCTGTCTGTTTCAGCTTCTCTCGGTTTCTCATTCTTAAATTCAGTTTTCCACATTTCCACAGCAACATTTGCAATTCTTTGAAAATGAAAAAGTCATCAGCATTTTTGTGCAGATTTCTCCTGATAATTGCATTTGTATGTATTTTCTCCTCAAAATAACACGTTCCCCCCCCCAGCAATTTCCCCATATATAATGCATTTTCTATGTTATGTTCACCAACGTTATTGGACTTTGGTATGCAGTGTGTGGACTGTGAATTTGGCTTATTATAAAATTTCCTGTTTAAACCAGCCCTTAGAAACATGAGGACTTTACCTGTTGCAGTCACACATAGGGATATGAGCCTTTGCTTAAAAATAAAACAAGAGTCGTCATGTTTCTAAGGGCTGGTTTAAACAGGAAATTTTATAATATTGAGTTAGACCATTGGTCCATCAAATTCAGTAACCACATCGCTGACTGGCCGTGGCTCTCCAAAGTTTCAGACAGGTCTCTCTGCCCTACCTGGAAATGTTGGGAATTGAACCTGGAAAATTTTGCATGCAGGTGTGTTGTTTCCCACATTCTCCCATCTTTTATGCAGGGGAGCAGGCAGTGATTTGGGTTTTTAGGGCTTTCTAGTTCAATGCCAGTACATCAATTCTTCCTAGAAACAAGCTAAGCACCCATAAGCTCTTTATTCTGCCGACTTTCCATAGCAGTGAGCAGCCTTTCTCTAACCGAAATTTCCAAACGGCCTTCAAAGGCAGCTCCAGGTACAACTCACCGCAGTAGTCCAGCCTGAATATGTGGATAACTATGACCAGATTTCAGCACAAAGGTTTACCAGTACATGTGATTGAAATCCGATTCGACAGACTTGTTCTTGCTCTGGGTTCCCAGATGATAAAATCTCTGAAGAAGGCGATGGCTCCTGTCATTAGCGACGTCTCCGTGGACTGGGTCTTCCCTGAAACAGCAGAAGTCTTAATCTCACCTGTCAGTGCCAGCTGTCTATTTCCAGGGGACCGGTTGGTTGGCTACAGCATTGTCTGTGATACGTCCCTGTATGTTTCGAACCCCAGGCTGGTGAGTAACCCCCACAGTAAACTTTCTGCTTAATATAATGCCATTAACGATCTGGCTGCTTCCTGTTCTTCCCCCATTATAGAAAAAATGGGGTTGACTTTTACAGCTCAACACTCCATCAAAGGACTCCGTGTCCCCTAAATCCATTATCAGTCAGAGATGAATGGATGAAGGTAAGATCCAGTGAAAGCAAGGTAGCTCTTATTTTTCTGTTGCAGCAGAGTTACCCTCCCCACCTTGCAAGGAGGCGAGGACGCAGAACAAAGGTGTGTGAGAAATTTTAAAGACTTTAGAAATTGCCCAGCCCCTTAACCAAAGACCACCCAAAAGCATCATAGACACATCACAGAAAGAGGCGGTCTACAACAAAAATTTGAGTGTGGCATTTCTCCTGTCTGTCAAGATAATGGTCACTGATTGCATTAACTCGCCAGTCTGAGCCATTCTTTTGAGATGGTGAATACCTTAGTTTTTTGTTTTTTTAATTGTTTCTCTATCGATCTATTTACACTTTTCAAGTTTATACACTAATTTTATACATTTCACTAATTTTACAGTCATTTTGACATTTCAAAACTTGACTTCCTTCCCCCACTTTCTGAGGTTTTAATATCTTCTGCATATCCAAGTTCACTTAATTTGCTCATTTACTCATCTTCTTTAAATATATACTCTTATAAAACTGCAGGTTGTTAATCCTGCCAGTGATTTCATCTCTTTATAATTCATCTGTAAATATTCAACAAACCATTTCCCTTTTTTTATTTAAAAAATTGTTACAGTGGTACCTCGGGTTAAGTACTTAATTTGTTCTGGAGGTCCATTCTTAACCTGAAACTGTTCTTAACCTGAAGCACAACTTTAGCTAATGGGGCCTCCTGCTGCTGCCGTGCCGCCGGAGCATGATTTCTGTTCTCATCCTGAAGCAAAGTTCTTAACCCGAGGTACTATTTCTGGGTTAGGGTAGTCTGTAACCTGAAGCGTATGTAACCCGAGGTACCACTGTATCTTGATTTCTTATTCTTCCGGGAAATTTTGCCATTTCTCCATAAGTTTTTATATCCGTTCTTCCTTTGCTGGGACTTCTGTTCTTTCCATTTTGGGGCAAGTAAATACCTTCGTTCTTGAATCCAGGTCACAGCCCTACCCTATTCAGCTGAGATAACTGCATTGCAGGGGTTTGGACTAGATGACCCTTGGGGTCCCTTCCAACACTAGAATTCTATGATTCCGTGTAGAAGGCATTATACAAACTCAATGCCATGAGAATCAGGAGATCCACTCCCAGTTGCAGTAGGCAAGGCCGAACTCAATGAGGCAATTTTTCAGCCATATAAGTAGGCATCTTTTATTGATGGTCACCCTCACCTGAAAAATCAGATCCGGGAGAAAAAAAGACAGTTTGCCGAGATGGCAAAAATGACTGCATCAATCAGGAGCTGCTCCAATCAAAAATTCTACACAGAATGGGAATGCATAGGGGAATACAGGAAGAAATCTGGTGTTAAAGCAGAACTCTTAATAGGCAATTGTTAAGCGTGTAAGGACAAAAGAAGTAATTATAATTTAACAGTTTTCATGTTATTCTATTTTGTTAAAGCAACTAGAAAAAAATATTATGATGGGAAGATCTCACACAGGTGAAGGGAAGTAGTGGGGAGGAGGGGAGGGTTAGGTTGAATTTGAGAAATAAAATAATAGGATATAATAAAAGGATATAATAGATTCTTATAGAATAGTAATATATTGTAACCAGAATAGAAGTTCAAAAGGGGAAGTAAATGCATTTTTAGTATTTTCAGGGGTATAAATAAAAATTTATTCTTATTTATTACTATTATTATTATTAGGACAAGAGGCGACGCTACAGCATGCTGCATTCCCAAGAGTCTGGCAGCTCCGTTTTCTTCCACTCACAAGAAGAAGGAGGTGGCTCGGATGTCTGGGGCTGCCTCAAGGATTCAGAAACCGGGTTGCCTTCAGAGAGGACCCCTGAACTCCTGGGGGTTGGCGGAGACCTGGGAAGTGAATCGGAAGTGGACTCTGGTCAGTTTCCTCTCCTTCAGCTCTCTGGATGTCGTTCATACATGTAAAAGGGGAAAAGAAGATTTTCTCCTTTACTGTTCCTAAACATTCCTCCTTTCCCAGATGTTTTGCTCCGATTTCCACGTTTCCAGATCAAGTTTGGCGGTGTGACGGCGACCTCATGAAAATTCATTAGCGTTCTTGTGCAAGTTTATTTTCATATTCGCATGCTCTTATGCAATTTTGCCTAATTCACACATCTTTTGCAAAGCAACTTTCCCTAATACGTGCATTATATTCATGAACGTGTGCATTTCCCCCATACATATTCATTTTTTAAAATTATTATTTTCGTATGCAATGTTTGGTTGGAGATCTCCATTGCAGAATTCAGAGAAGCGCTCGTTTTGAAGGATAGCCGTGTTTCAGTCTGTGTATTGGTTCAGAGAGTGTGAATTAGGTAGGTTCACCTTTAAATGAAATGGAATTGTCTTTCTGCCAAGTCCTTGGGAAAGAAGCCATCTTATTTTGGTTCCTTTTGCATGTCTCTTTTCAGCTCACAATGGTGCAAAGTGCAGGGGCTCATTCTGGAAAGGCATTTTTACCTGGTGCAGTAAAGCACCACACTTTAGATGAGAGCCAGTGTGGCAAAGTGGTTAGAGTGCTGGGCTAGGACCTGGGAGAGACCCGGGTTCAAATCCATGAAGCTCGCTGGGTGATCTTGGACCAGTAACCATCTCTAGGGCTAACCTACTTCACAGGATTGTGAGACTCAAATGAAGAGGGAGAGAACCACAGATACCACCTTAGGCTCCTTGAAGGGTCATTCCACGCCAAATCTCCTGGTGCCATGTGCTCTCATGACTCAGATTTTCTTCAATTTTTTAAAATGTGTTGATACCTATGAGAGAACCTCAAATTAATTTTTAAAGATATTTTGGTCGAAAATTGGGCGCAGGAGAATTTTTTTGATTTTCGAACGATTTAGGCTAATGCAATTTCTGTGTCAGTTTAGAAAAAAACCTCCTGTTTCACTTATTTTTCAACCAATTAGGCTTATTTGGGTATCAAAAGAAAGCTAATTTAAAAAAAAAAATCTAATGCGCCTAATTTTGGACCAAAAAACTTGGACACATAATAAAGAAAATCTGAGTTGTGAGAGGACGGTCAAGTATTAAAATCAGGTGTTTTGGCATGGAATCACCCTGAAAGAAAGGCGGAATAGAAATGTAATCATCATCATCATTGACTAAGCCACAAAGCAACCTTTGCACCATCTCATAAACAGAATGTGATGAAACTATGGCTCATAAAGGCTTGTGCAAGTTTGTAGGTCTGTGGGCCATACCGTAGATCTAAATTTCATTCAAAGTATTAGTTTGAGTGGTATGAACCACTGTTTCTTCAGAAAACACAATCCCCCTCCATCACCAGTGTACAACAACATCGTGCTGGGGTTGGGGTTTTTTGGGGGCAGTGTTATAACCTTGTGCTAAAAGGAAGTCTCTTGATACAGCTGTTTGTGCGATCAGATCAAATTTGCTTTTCTGCATTTTTTGCCCACCTGGTGGTGGTGGGGGAAATCCGCCCAAGTGTTGAGATGGGGCAAGCTGACCTGCCCTAGCAGAGGCTGATTGGAAAGTGGAAAAAGTCAAAGCAGCAAGTCCTGAGAAGTGAGAGGAGGATGTGGGTGGCGCTGTGGTCTAAACCACTGAGTCTCTTGGGCTTACTGATTGGAAGGTTGGCGGTTCGAATCCCCTCAACGGGATGAGCTCCCATTGCTCTGCCCCAGCTCCTGCCAACCTAGCAGTTCGAAAGCAAGCCAGCAAGTAGATAAATAGGTACTGCTGCGGCGGGAAGATAAACGGCATCTCTGTGCGCTCTGGTTTCTGTATTGGTGTTCTGTTGCACCAGAAGCGTTTTAATCATGTTGACCACATGACCCAGAAAGCTGTCTGTGGACAAATGCTGGCTCCCTCAGCCTGAAAAGCAAGATGAGCGCCGCCACACCATAGTCGCCTTTGACTGGACTTAACCGTCCAGAGGTCCTTTACCTTTACCTCTTTTATGGTCTATAGTCTGTGGCTGCTCATGTATCCACCCCTGTCACAAGAGGCCCAGGTGACCTCAGTGGCCAAGTGTACCTTTTACCAGCCTTTTTATTAGTTGACTGATTTTATTTCTCAAGGGAGCTGCAGCTTTGAGGAGAGCTTTGCCTATTAACTTGCCCCTGCCCCCCCTGTCTATATTGCTATGTAAAATAGAGTTGTAACCAAGGCTGGTCCTACTCAAAGTAGGTCCATTGAAGTTAATGGGCATGGCTAACTTAGGTTCATTAATTTCAGTGGGCCTAGTCTAAGTTGGATTTAGTTGCATACAACCTACTGGTGCTTTGTCTTCCCAGGAATGGACGTGACAACAGCTCCGTCACGGCGTAGGGCGTACAGCACCAATCAAATAGCTGACCACGAACCATTCCGGAAGGTTCCCACGGCCAGCGACCCCAGCTCTGCGCTCATTAAGAATCCGCTTCGGAAGGCCCAGCTGCAGGATCTCACCCAACTCAGCCCAGAACCGCCATTGTGGCAGGTGGAGTTTCAGGTAAGCTTCCTTGCACTTTGAGTAAAATATACATTGGAAGGGTGTCCCTGGAGCTGCTTATCCACGTGCCTTTTTGTTGTTTTGTAATGGGTGTGTCAAAAGCTTATTTGCCACATCTCCGAAAGTTCAGCACATCAGGGCAAGTGGCTCAAGCTATCTCCCACTACGGTAGATTCTTTCCCCAGAGGAAGTCGAGAACAGATCTTTAATGGGGAAATATGTCTGTAGATGGGAATGCAAGGGGTGTTCATAAGGAAATCTGACGATACCGTATTTTTTGCTCTATAGGACACACCGGACCATAGGAGGGGGAGAACAGGGGGGGGAAAATCTCCCCCTCTCTGCGCAGCACCCCTTCAGCGAAGCGGTAGGAGAAATGGAGCCCCTTCCATTTCTCCTCCCGCTTCGCTGAAGGGGCGCTGTGCAGAGAGGGAAAACTGTGCAGCGCCTCTCCAGCGAAGTGAAGCCTGGAGAGCAAGAGGGATCGGTGTGCACCAAACCCCCTCGCTCTCCAGGCTTCAGGCGGCTTTCTGCAAGCCTTTGGAGCGCAGCGGGAACTCCTGCTGCTCTCTGAAGGCTTGCGGATAGCTGCCTGAAGCCCCCGGAGTGCAGTGGGAGTTCCCTCTGCACTTCGGAGGCTTCGCATTGCTATCGCTGAAGCCAAGGAGCCTGCATTCGCTCCGTAAGACGCACACACATTTCCCCTTAATTTTTGGAGGGGGAAAAGTGCGTCTTATAGAGCAAAAAACACGGTACCTTTCTCCTGAATGCAGAACAGGAGCAATCAGAAGATAGATCACATTCTCCTTGAAAATCTCTGAATGTAAGAAGAGTCTGCTAGATCAGGCCAATGGGCCAGGATCCTGTTCTCACAGTAGCCAAGCAGATTCTCCCAATGGGAAGCACCACAAGCCGGAGGAGAGGGCAACACAGCACTCTCCCCAACTGCGATTCCCAGCAACTGAAATCCACTTGTCAAACTCACACATTCCTAAACAATATGCAAACCAAAACACAGCTATCCTTAAAAAATAGAAAAAATAGAAAAGTGAACCTAGGAATGGAGTGTGACCCCCTCAGTACTATGTATATGAATCCCTAATCCCACCCCCTTCTAAGAAAGGGCCTTGTTTAAAACACACAGAACGCCACAGAGGTTCCAGCTGTGGTTACCAAGCAACTGAGCCCTGGTATCATACACCTAATCTTCCTCTCTGTAATTAAAGCAGCTGGCTGACTGAAGCTCGTATATTTTGCTTTGTCTACCTCGCAAGAGGTCAGCGAAACCTTTCCAATAAGTGGAGCAGCATAGATCACTCTAGACATGACGTTCAGAGGAGTCAGGGTGCCGGTCTGTTGGCTCTATAAACCATCAAGAGTCCTTGTAGCACCTCGGAGATTAACCGCAGTTGGAATCATTGTGGAGAGCCACTAGCTTCACTGGGTACTTAACCGAAGCGCATCTGACGAAGTGAGCACGAAAGCTTATGCTGTAAGGAGTAAGTCTTTGAGGCAGCGTGAGTCTCTTGCTCAAACACAGCATGATTAAGAATACATGAGCATCAGAGGCCTGCTGGATCAGGCCAGCAGCCTATCTAGTCCAGCATCCCGTTGTCCCAGTGGCCAACCAGGTGCCTGCAGCAAACCAGTAAGCAGGATTCAAGCACAAGAGCACTATCCCTTCGGGGGTTTCCAGCAACTGGTATTCAGAAATATTAAAGGTAAAGGGACCCCTGACCCTTAGGCCCAGTCATGACCGACTCTGGGGTTGCGGCGCTCATCTCGCACGGAGCAGCGCACGGAAACGCCATTTACCTTCCCGCCGGAGTGGTACCTATTTATCTACTTGCACTTTGACGTGCTTTCGAACTGCTAGGTTGGCAGGAAGCCCAGTCTGCAATCTGAGGAGTAGTAGCAGTGGTCTACCTAACTGAGCAGAAATCAGACTTACTGAGCTGAAGAATGGGAAACCCTTTGAAAGTAGAAAATCTTATTTAGGGCTTGTGGCTCAGGGTACATGCTTTGCACAGAGAGGGTCTCGTGTCTGGTCCTCGGCAACTCCAGTTAAAAGCATCAGCTAAACAGGGAGAAACTCTGCACTACATGAGAGCCTACAAAGCTGCTGCAAGCCAGAATCAACCATTTTCAGAAAAGAGGACCAATAGTTTGACCCTGGAATAAGGCAGCAGCAGTAGCTGCTGCTGCTTTTATGGCAGTAGTGGGAAACACCTGGCCTTTGGGCTAAATGCCACCCTCAAGGCTTTACCAACCAGCCTTCAGGCAACATTGTCCTTGAGCACTTTTACCTGGCTGGAGTGTGTTTGTGTGTGTGTGTGTGTGTGTGTGTGTAAATGTTTGGCTTTGGTGTGGCTGGAATGAAGCCTTCTGCACAAAGGTAAGAGTCTCATCTGCTGCTGCTCCTCTGACTTTTGCCTCAAGCCTCACCCATGCAGTGCCAAAAGGTTTGCCCCAGAGCAAATGCAGCCCTTGGAGCCAAAAACCTTCCCTTCCCTTGCTGCAAGTGGACCCCATTTCTGACCACTCTTGTCACTCAGTGGCATAGCAAGGGTTGCCAGCACCCAGGGAAGGATGGAGTACACATGTGCATTCAACTGCCTAATGACATCCACATTACCCAGGAGATCGCAGCTGCAGAGATAAGAAAAGAAGAGTCATTTCATTGCCTGGAGAGGTCACTTCCTGGTTCACATGGAGAGGTCATATTCAACAGAGCCACATAAGCATGCAGCTGAATTGACGCAGCAAGGGGTGTTGAAATTTTGCACTCCCTAACAATTTTCTGCCCGGGGCAACTGCTCCTGTGGCCCCCAGACACTACGCCACTGTTGTCACTTTTATCTCAGAACTAGCTCTTCTTTCTGAGCAATGCCCTTGTTTCCCCGGAGTGTGTTTGGGTGGGAGTATGCACAGGATTCTACCTCTCCTCTCCTGACCTTTCAGTCTTCTCAGGCTTTCGCTGCCAGCCCTCAAATATCTACCCCAAGAATACGGGGAGTCGGAGCAAGGCGGCCCTCCCTGCTGCAGCAGAGTCGTCTCTCCTTCTGCCACAACCCAGAATCACCACAGCAGCACATCAGCCTTGCACAGACTGGGAAGAACTTTGGGCCACTTGAGACCGACTCCCTCCCAGGGTCCATTTTTTCAGAGAGCCGGAGCCCGGGGGATCTGGGTAAGCCATCCAAATCACCAGGCCCTAGGAGGCTTCATTTGGTCAGATTTGAGTATATACTTCCAGAGTTAACACTAAGTACATTACTTCTGGCAAATGAGCCACCGCGGCTGCTAGAGGGCCATGGAAATTTGTGTCGGTTGCCAGATGTGAAATATATCAGCATTATTTACTGCTCTCCTTGCCCCATTGCTAGTTGAAAATATTGAGTTAGACAGACTAACGATCTGGCTTTTCAAGTAGCTTCATATATCACTCCCTCTAATAGCAAACTCAGCTGGTGAGTGCTAACAGGATTGTAGCCGAAACAGCACCACTGAGGAGCAAGAGGGAAGCATTGGGAATAGTGTGGGGGAATCCAGAAGATTGCAGAAGTACAAAAAGATTTAGGGGGGAATCATAGAATTGGAAGGGACCCTGAAATTCTAGCCCAACCCCTGCAATGCAGGAATATGCAGCTGTCCCATACAGGGATCGAACCTGCAACCTTGGAGTTATCAGCACCACGAAGAGGGCACCAACCCCTCTCCAGCCCAGTGGGGACTGAGCATGCTTAATAGACATGGAATAAAGGTAAAGGGACCCCTGACCATTAATTCCAGTCACGAACAACTCTGGGGTTGCAGCGCTCATCTCACTTTACTTGCCAAGGGAGCCGGCGTACAGCTTCCGGGTCATGTGGCCAGCATGACTAAGCCGCTTCTGGCAAACCAAAGCAGCGCACGGTAACGCCGTTTACCTCCCCTGCTGGAGCAGTACCTATTTTACTTGCCTTGACGTGCTTTCGAACTGCTAGGTTGGTAGGAGCAGGGACCAAGCAATGGGAGCTCACCCCATCGCGGGGATTCGAACCTTCGACCTGATCGGCAAGCTCTAGGCTCTGTGGTTTAGACCATAGCGCCAACCAAAGGGGAGGGGGGAAAGGAATGGAGCAGCTTGGAAGAAGGGCATGGCTGGCTGAGTAGAAACCTGAACAAGACATTTTGTTGCAAGTCCCGCAGGTATCACATAATTGCTTGCATGCCTCTCCCGGCAGATGTTGCCCAGCACCCATCCTTCCTCTTTGAAACGGAGACTTCATCGGATTGGGAATCCCACGATGCAGAGATTGGCTCAGCCGGTGGCAGCTGGCGGCACTCTCCAAGATCCACCTGCAAGGCGGTGGTGAAAGGGCTGCGGAACAACGAAGTGGTCCAGTGGGAGGTGCTGTTTGACATCGCTCCGCTTTTCCGAGGTCGGGAGGGCAAGAGGAACGACGAAGATGATCTCTGGAGTGAGACCTTCCACCACCTGGCTGCCAAGTCCATCGTCCGGGACTTTGAGCAGCTTGCAGAGAGGGAATGTGAAATTGAGCACGGTAACTTGCATTGATAGCTTCAATGAAAGTGCTACTCTTTGCTGGGTGTGTGTGTGGAAGATGGAATTACCCCAGTAAGCCAAACCATGTTTTAACATGCTGTAGATATAACTTGGGGCCCTGTCCAGACATCATCATTATTAAAATTTATATACTGCCCTTCATCTGCAGATCTCAGGGCGGCTCACAACATAAAATGCAATATAGTAAAGGTAAAGGCACCCCTGACCGTTAGGTCCAGTCGCGGACGACTCTGGGGTTGCGGCGCTCATCTCTCTTTATTGGCCGAGGGAGCCGGCGTACAGCTTCTGGGTCATGTGGCCAGCATGACTAAGCTGCTTCTGGCGAACCAGAGCAGTGCACAGAAACGCCATTTACCTTCCCGCCAGAGTGGTACCTATTTATCTACTTGCACTTTTGTGCTTTCGAACTGCTAGGTTAGTAGGAGCTGGGACCGAGCAACGGGAGCTCACCCCATCACGGGGATTCGAACCGCCGACTATCTGATCGGCAAGCCCTAGGCTCTGTGGTTTAGCCCACAGCGCCACCCACATCCCAAAATACAATATAAAAGCACAAAATACACGCTTTAAAAAACCCCCACAAATCAGTAACCCCCTCTCCCCACCCGCTCCCACAAACACATGTAAAAGGGGTATAGGATGTTAATTAGCCCAAGGCCTGGTTGAAGAGGAACGTTTTTGCCTGGCGCCTAAAGGTGTATAATGAAGGCGCCAGGTGAGCCTCCCTAGGGAGAGCATTCCACAAATGGGGAGCCACTGCAGAAAAGGCCCTTTCTCATGTTGCCACCCTCCAGACCTCTCATGCAGGAGGCACATGAAGGAGGACCTCAGATGATGATCTCAAGGTCCAGGTAGGTTCGTATGGACGTCTTTCTTACTGTGCAGTCAGATTGGATCTGTAGGAAGCAAACTTCTCTATCTCTGGGGGGGGGGGGAGGATTGACTATCTCTACCCGGCACTTTTTGTCCAACAGGGTCTGGCCGGCGGTACCAGGTGAATGCCGTGCACACCAGCAAAGCCTGCAATGTGATCAGCAAATACACAGCCTTTCTGCCCGCAGACCTGAGCAACAATAGCTACTTGCCGACTGTTGTGGAATATCCCAATGCAGGTAGAGGAGCCTAGCCGGAGCACAAGGATTGTGGGCAACAGCACCTGGCGTCACCTGGAAGACTGACCAGTACAAGGGTTATGTCATATGCTCCCATGAACCAGAAATGTAGGAGGCTGTCTTGTTCAGAATCAGGCCTTGGAGCCATCTCATGCAGGGCTGCCTGCCATGGGTGTAGCCAGGAATTTCTTGGGGGGGGGGCAAGTCTTTCGTTGGGAGGGCAGGTCTTTTGTTGGGGGTGACCTCAGTTAGCTATGTATTTTTATTGATTTGGGGGGGGCAGCTGCCACTCCCTGCCTACCCACCCACCCAGCTACACCCATGCTACTTATCTTTTAAAAGACATCTGAAGGCAGTCCTGTTTAGGGAAGTTTTTAATGTTTAATTCTGTACCCTGTTTTTAATATTCGGTTGGGAGCTGCCCAGAGTGGCTGGGGAAACCCAGCCAGATGGGCGGGGTATAAATAAATAATAATAATAATATAATTATTATTATTATTATTATTATTATTATTATTATTATTATATCTGCATTCCCTTCTGAGAAGCTTTCCAGGGTTAGGGTTGCCAACAGTAGGCAAATGTGGGTGGAGAAATTGTTGAAAATAGCTCCATTTTGCGTGGGGCGGGGGGCATGTTTCATTTTCATTGGGTTAGAAGACATATCCACCCCCCTCCCAAACCTCAAAATTGCCAGTTCTCACTCTATAATAATTCCATCTGATTTGTTCCAAGGTCCAGCCCTGAAACCAGGCAGCCAACGGAATTCTGGTTCTGAGAACAGGCGGCACAGAACGCTCTCCTCTGGGCTGGGACGCATCCAGTCAACCTGTGGTCAAGATTCAGCAGGTGACCAATTGCATGGCATGAGTAAGATAACAGCATTCCTGTGGGTCAAATTTTCTCCCCCCCCTAAAATAAATTTGATTTTTCAGTTTTCACAGTATGACCAAGACACAGAAATTTGCAGACACAAATTATGAATACAATTCCATAGTTGACCCCCCCCCTTTTTGTGGTTCCTTTTCTCCTTTAGATTTTTAACACTGCATATTCCACTTTACTCCATTTTTAAGCTATTCTTCCTTTTACCTTCGTAATATTTTTAACTGCTTGATTTAAGTTAATGCTACTAATGAACTTATTTGCATGCAAGAACTTTTCAGATATTCTACAAATTTCCCCCATTTTTAAATAAAACATCTCTCTTGGTTTCTTATTACATCCATCAGTTTTGCCATTTTGGCATAATCCATCAGTTTAATCAGCCACTCTTCCTTAGTTGGTATTGCATCTTTTTACACTTCTGGGCAAACACCATTCTGGCTATGGTTGTGGCATATACGAACAAAATTTAAAGGTCCTTTGGAATCTCTTTATTTGCAACAGTTAAAAGAAAAACTTCTGGGTTTGTTGTTTTTTAACTAAAGTAGGTTTCTTTTTTAAAGGCATAGATTTATTTATTTATTTATTTTAAAAAAAACATCTGAATTCTCCCCAGGATTTAAAGGGTCTGTTTTTATTCTGACAGCTGGCGAAATTAGAAACGTACCCCAGTTTCTTGAGGGTTTCCTTCCAGGATCAGTTCCAGGGACTGGATGTTGCCCTCCCCCTCTTAGGGTTATGGGCCATGCAATGCCTATACCTGCCACCAGCCCTGCTGACCCCCCTTATCAGCATGCAATGAGCAGATGGTTCGCCTAAAATTGTAATTGCACTGAGGAGTGGCGGACTTGGGTACCATTGCACCCTCCCTGTGCAAGCCCAAACTTTGGTGCACAACACCCCCCCCCCGAGTCCTCACACTACCTTCCCAAAGGCAGGTAAGGAAGCACCTGGCTTTGCGAAGTAGATGCGAGGCTCTGGCAGGGTCCTGGAGCCCTCCCATCTCTTCCCGAAAGCTGGGAAGGCACCAGCTAGGGTTTGGGAAGGAGAAAGGAGGACTCTAGGACCCTGGCAGAGCCTCACAGATGCCCCTGCACTGAGCAACCCAATCCCTGCTGTCAGGTTTGCAGGTGGTTGCTTGCGAGTAAACAGCCAGGACTCCAACCTGTCTTTTACAGGTTTTATTTTAGTGCAAACTATGTACAGTGCAAGGGACGCAGGTGGCGCTGTGGGTTAAACCACAGAGCCTAGGACTTGCCAATCAGAAGGTCGGCAGTTTGAATCCCCGCGACAGGGTGAGCTCCCGTTGTTCAGTCCCTGCTCCTGCCAACCTAGCAGTTCAAAATCACGTCAAAGTGCAAGTAGATAAATAGGTACCGCTCCGGCGGGAAGGTAAACAGCATTTCTGTGCGCTGCTCTGGTTCTCCAGAAGTGGCTTAGTCATGCTGGCCACATGACCTGGAAGCTGTCTGCGGACAAACGCCAGCTCCCTTGGCCGATAAAGCGAGATGAGTGCAGCAACCCCAGAGTCGGCCACGACTGGACCTAATGGTCAGGGGTCCCTTTAACTTTATCTTTTATGTACAGTGCGGAAATCCAAAGTTCATGTCTGCCTCAGTCACTTGCAGATTCCGGGAGTGGCCTCTTCCGGTTCTCTCCCCCCCCCCAGCATAAGAACTTAGACACCCCAAATCTCCACTTCCCCTCCTTACGTTTCATCCCTCTTTGAAAACTGGACTCTGGAAGAGGCATCTCTGTTTTCTGACCAGCCTGGCTGAGTGGAGCTCTTGGGCTCTCAGAAGTCTCCCTCCTTCCCCCCTCTGCTTCACTTGAGGCGGGGCTCTTTCCACTGCCTGACCAAGAGCTGCTTCTGAGGTTGGAGGCTCCCTGTGTTCTTGTGCCCCCTCCCCCCTTTCGATGGCAGTTCCCTGACACCTGCCATGCTGCAGAAGAGGCTAACCCAGGTGGTCACTGGTTCTTGTCTCTCTTTCCCCCCCACAAGCAGATGCAGAAGAGAACAGCCTGTCTCCGTGCAGTACACCGTCCTCCTCGGGATGGGATCGCATCACTTTCCCAGATGGTAAGGAACGTCTTAGAGAACCTTGCACCAAGTCAGACCATGGGATCTTCTAGCTCAGTGTTGTCTACACTGACTGGCAGCAGCTCTCCAGGGTTTCAGGCGGGGGACGGTCTCAGCCGCAGCTCGCGATGCTGGAGGTCGAACCTGGCACCTTGTGCATGTAAAACAGATGCTCCACAAATTAACTGTGATTCTTCCCCTCAGGAGAAAGAAAGATTCCAGTCCTAAGAATCATTGAATTGTAAAATGGAAAGGAACCATAAGGGGCACCTAGTCCAATCCCCTGCAATGCAAGAATCTTTCGCCCAGTGTGAGATTCGAACCCATGACCTTGAGATTAAGAGTCTCAAGCTCTACCAACTGAACTATAAAGCACTGATTTAAGTAGGAACATCGAAAGCTGCCTCAGGACTCATCCAGCCTTCCACTCGTCCAGTTCCTAGAAAGCACAGGTCAAAGAGTTTTGCCACTTGCCCTGTGCTTTCCAGGCAGCAGTTTTGCATTTGCCTGCTGCTTTCTCCCAGGGAAAACACACTCTTTACTGCTGAATCGGAACAAACAGCAATTTGCGGGGGAAATCCAATTGACCTTTGCTCCGCTTCAGCCATAAAGAGCGGGTTTTCTCGGGGAGAAGTAACAGGGCAAGCGGAAGTGTGGACAAGTCCTTAGACTGGGTCATATCATTCATCCATCTACCTTAGGACACAGTGTGCATTTGTGCAATCCAGTGCGATCCCCGACCTCATTCCCCAGAGAAGAGGCATGAGAAGGCCCAGGGTCATGGCAACCTCAGGGTTAGGAAACCTTTTCCAGACCGAGGGCCACATTGCCTTCTGGGCAACCATCTGAGGGCCACATGCCAGTGAGGCAGAAGTGGGTGGAGCAATGAATGCAAATTCCACTTCATGTGTTTACAGTGGGTTGGGTTGTACACAGATTTACCTCCCTCTTTCTGTCCTCTGCCCAGACAAGCCAGGGGCATTATTAGAGTACAGGGACACATTGCACCAACCCTCAAGAAAGCTGAAAAGCAGGACTAGAGAGGGGTGCAGCTTGGGGAGAGTTCTGAGGGCCAGATAGAGAGACCTGCTTTGACCACTACACTAAACTGTCATCCTTCCGCCTCTGGCGCCATCTTCCTTTTTCTCTCTCTCTCTCCTCAGTTCCACTACGAAGTCCATCTGTCTCCTCTCAGAAATCCATTGAGAGCTTTTTTGCGGCCAGGTAAGGGCTGATGTTTCCACGGACTGTTTCTCCTCCTGAGAAGGTGGTGACCATCCCATCTCAGGTGGCAAATGCCGAGAGGGGGGAGGGGTGGCGAGCAGGATTTGCACCTTGCACCTCCTAGGAGAGCCTGCTATCCTTGGGGACAGTGGAAATGTTGTTCTGTCAACCAGTGTTGAAGGAAGACTCACCCAGGCCAGGCAGCTTCTGTATATCGATAAGAGGGCTACACTGTCCCACCTCCCAATTTTTATGTGGACAAAGAAGATGGCGGAATTAGAGAGGTTGTTTGTACACAGCTCTGGTGGCAAACCTTCCCCCGCGCTCAGCTGTGAAATGTTGGGCGATCTTTATTTTGTTTAAAATGTTGCCCAAGAAAAATTTGCAAAAACCGGTGGGTCAAGATGTCAGTAGGGTGAATGTGCTCCTTACACCGTCAAATCTTTTCCTTGAAACTGACTTGAATTCTGTGGGGTGGGGTGGGGGAACAGAGAAACTACTTTTCCTCAGCCAAAGAGCATGTGCTTGACTGGGAGAGGGCAGCCATCATGCTGAAGGCTGAACAGCGCATCTGCTTTCTTTGCACATCCCTGTCTTGGTGGTCCAGGCTCACCTTTAACAAAACAAGACTGTTGACACGAGCAGCCCGAGGCTTTATGGGAAAAACACCCACCAGGACCAGCGAGACGAGTTTGGAAAGTGACAATGAAAACATTGACTACCTGCCCCTTGTAAGTATCGGGTCCCACCAGGTTCAGACACTGCTCTCCAAGCATTCACATTGGGATGCTTCCAAAAAAAAAAAACACCACCAAAATTTATTCTCTTATTTTGGAGTTCTGCATTTCCTTGTGACTTTTTACTGAAGTGGAACCCAGGTGTTAGGAATGCTTTGTTGCACAGCTCCTGTTTCCGACGTTTGCACAAGAGTTGTGCATAGAAATTCAATAACTAAATAAATAACTGACTGCAGCTTTCGCACAGTCTGCAGTTCCTATGTGCCTCCATCCCTTCCACATGGCACAGCTGCATTGATGAAGACACTTCCAGAAATAATAGTAATCCCCATATGCAACCTTGTTCTTGTTATTTATTTCTTAGATGCATTTTTTTACTTTTTTTTACCCAGGGGTAATTCAGGGTGACCTACAATATATAAACAAAGATATATCAAAACGGATGTAAACAAAAACAAAGGAAATCTAGAGGACAATCCAATTTAAAAAGGCATGATTAAAATATCCCACCCACTGTGGGAGGCCTCAGATAATTAAAAAACCAAAGCCTGGCAAGGGGTGTGTGTGTTTGCCTGGTACCTAAAGATGTGTAATGATGGACCCAGGTGAGCCTCCCAAGGGAGTGCATTCCATAAGCAGGGAGCCACTACTGGAAAGGCCTGTTCTCATATTCCCACCCTCAGGACCTCTTGAGGAGGAGGCACATAGACACAGTCTTCATGTGATGGGAGAGGAGACCCTGGAGGCAGTGGGGTCCACAGAAAGCTTTATAGGCCAAAACCAGCACTTTGAATCAGTCCCAGAAACTAACTGGTAGCCAGTGCAGCGGGGCCAAAATTGGTGTTATGTGCTCAGGCCAGCTTGCCTACCTTGTTATGATCTGAGTATAACTTATTTGGCTACAATTCTGCTGGTCTAGGGTTTCTTAGGCAGGGCCGGCCCACCCATGAGGCAGGCTGAGTCAGCCGCCTAATGTGGCAGAAGGGCGCCCACCACTGGCAGAGAAGTGGCACCAGCTTATCCACTGAAATCTCATGAGATCTTGTGTGCTCTGTGAGATCTCGCTGAAACCTGCTGCCACTTTGCAGGCACAGCCACACAACCCAGCTAAGGGAAGTTTCAGTGGCGCCATGGCGGCAAAATTGGATGTGCCGGCCCTGTTCGTAGGAGACTGAACACACCTGTCAACTGCTTATCTCAGTATTCTAGAGAGTTCCAGCACTCCCCTTTGCAACCACCCAAGTTTCTTGCCTGTTTGGGAATCCAAAAGGACTACTGTTTCCCCCCTTCCCCTCAGGTGTCTCTCCAGCTTGCCTGCGGCTCCTTCCTCTTGAACAAGGCCTTCTGTGAGGCCATCAACATCCCCCTGGAGAAGCTGAAGTGGACGTCTCCTTTTGCCTGCCACCGCATGGCTGCCAGCCCCTCAGCCAGCTCCTGCGCCTCCAGGAGATCAGCCACGTCAGAGGAAACCAAGAGCTCTGAGGGAACTCAACCACTGGACAATGTCAATCTCTCGACAAACAAAGAGAGTGAGTCTGGCCACGCCCGCCATTTTGCCAGCGGCGCTGTCGAAAGTCACTCCGGGGCCCTGAAGGCTGAGAACAAGCTTTCTCCTCCGGCCATCACCATCCAGCGCTTCTCCTTTCCAGAAAGCATTCCATCGCCTCAGGAGTCGCAGGCTGACAGTGGGAGAGGTTCTGAGACGGACAGCTCCGAGCTGCAGGCCTGGTTGGTGGACATTGAGCTCCAGCAGAAGAACGCACCAGAGGGAATGCTGTGGGCCACAGCCGTGGCCCTAGCCTGGCTGGAGCACAGCTCTGCCTCGTACTTCATTGAGTGGGAGCTGGCGGCAGCCAAGGCCAGCCTGTGGCTAAGCGAGCAAGATTTTCCCGAAGGCCGCAGCCTGCCGGCAGTGAAGGCAGCAGCTCAGCAGCTCTTTGTGTTGCTCAGGCACTGGGATGAAAACCTGGAGTTCAATTTGCTCTGCTACAACCCGAATAATGTATAGAGAGGAGGAGAGGGTGGGCTCTCAGGAGGGCAGGTGGGCACACGGTGGCTCATTCACGAACCAGGTTACAACCTACCAATTACTGCCAGAAACACCCCTGTATGTTGGGTTGAGGGCTGGGCTGGGAATCTCAGGCCCAGAGGTCATATGCAGCCCTTCAAAGATCTCTATCCGACCCCTTGGGGCTCCTCACAGGTCACACCCCTCACTGACCCTCCTCCTGAGCTTCCTTGAGCTCTTTCACCTGGTTGAGACTTGTTCTTGAACTGTGATAACGCTTCTTGCTTTCCTGGATGCAGAGTTGTCTATGTAGAACCTCTCTGACTGCTCTGTGTTTGGACTGTAGCCTGTTGCAGAAAGAGGAGGAGTCCTATCCGTAAGCCTAACCCCATCTACCACTGCCAGGTAGCTCCCAGAAGGTTGCCTGCTAGAGAATGTGGCCTTCGGGTTGATAAGCAGTTCCCTGCCCCTGGGTTACGTTTTCCCAGACAATGGTCAATACTGCTTTCAGAGGCTACTCTCCACCCCTGCATCCTTGTATCCTCTGCCAGCAACACACATTTTCTATGGGGCTAGAATTATTTAAACAGTGGTAATATTATGCATCCTTTTCTATCAAGTCCCAAGCTTGCAATGTGCATTGCCATCTCCTGCCTAAGTCTTGTGATGGTGGCTAATATTATTCCCATCTGTAGATACAAACCGTGGAAGCTCCCTTAGCCCATGGGGTCCATCCAGCCCATTCTTGTAGACACCAGGGATGAGCAGCAAACTTCAGGCTCATGGGTCCCACTCCTGCTCTTGGTTTATTAGGATGCCGGTGAATGTCAAAGTCCATCAATCAGTGTGTGAAAGAGAGTCAGAGGAAGGGCAACATGTGCCTAGAATTAAGGAACAAGGTGCTTCTTAGCATTTGCTCAGCCCAAGGGTGCGTTTTTCTCACCAGATCTAAACTTGCAGTCCAGTCCCAGACAAAACTCCACTCCTGGTTTTCCCAATAAACTTTCTTCATCTCAGCAGCTTAATTTTTAGAAGAGTCGGATGTGGAGAAAGCCTTATGTTGTTATTGCCCTGTTGTTAAACAAACCCTCACAGATCTACTGGAAATCACCTTGAGATCTAACAGTAGATCTACTTTCTGCCCACCCTGGTCTGCGTTAGCAGGGCAGCAGATCACCACGTTTTCAAAGAGGAATCCCTTCCTGGAAGTGCTGGGGGTTGCACCTGGGATCTTTTCCAGAAAGGGCACCTGCTACAGCCTTTCTCCTATATAAGCATAGGAAGCTGCCTTCAACCAAGTTAGACCATTGATCTGCCTAGCTCAGTATTGTCTTCTGCAAAATGTAGGAATGGTGTAAAAATCTTACGCCGGTACTGTAGTGACAAATTCGGAAGTGCAGGGTTCCCTTCGTGTTAGTCACAGACACACCCACTTCTAAAGTTATATGACCTAAGATTATACAATAATCTTACAAATATAAAACAATAATAATTAGGGATGCATTGCAACGATAAATACAAATCTCCATTTGTTGCTTTTCAGCTGGATCTACTATTTTCTATGCCTGGTACGTTGGGAACTGATTCAGAGTGCTCCAATATGTTCTTTCAGAGTGGCTTAAGCTGTGTTTACCTTGACGTTCCGCTGGAACTGCTTGTGTTGTCTGTGTTCCTAAACGCTTAGCTTCAGAGCATACATAACAGCTTCTCCTCAATGTTCTTCCCACACACCTTCTCCAGAGTGACCCTAGGAGCCAATCCTCACTGGCTGGCTCAGCTCCTTTCACACTTATTCGTTCAAATCAGCACAAAGGGTGAGAAGACCTCTTAGTGGCTAAAAAGCTCCCCTTTCATGTTGATTGGGTTGACCCTGCTGCAGAAATAGTAATTTTGACCGCCGATCACAACACCACTGTAATCTGCTTTGTGGGCAAGAATCCCATGGAGGCTTTTAAGCAGTCAATGAAAACAGAACATTCCCTGACCACAGGCTTGCAATCACAAGACATGGCACACAACAGAAAAAGGAACAATCAGGTACCCGTTCTTAAAGTTCAATAGCCCTTTTTATAATAACCACTTGGGAACAGTTTAGGGGTTGGAGGTGCCTGATGGAGCTGGTCTTTCAGTAGAGCTGATGGGGGTGAGTCCTGCTTCTCATCTCTCCCACTGAGGCAGCCGCTGGAATGGTGAGGAGGACAGATGCAGATGCACAATCCCATCAAGGTTGGTTTTGAGCAGTGTCTTCTTTTATCAGCACGTTCCTGCACACTGGTAATGCAGAGGAAGTGAAAAGACTAATGTTGCAGCCCAAAAACTTCCTCCCACTTCTCTTTTGGAGGGACCGTTCTTTGTCAACTAATGAGAAAAGGAATTGCATCCAAAGGGAAGATAAAATGTTGGTTGTGATGGGTGGGCCAGTGGCTTTTTGTTGTGTTTACTTTCAAAGTGGTTGAGGGCACCTGGGAAGGCTGCAAGTGATTTGGAGAAAGAAAGACAAAACATTCACAGCCCTTTATTTCACTCTGCAAATCATCACCCCTTGTGGTTGGCACTCTGCAGCCCTCCCAGGTGCCCACGCTTCCATTACAGCCCAGGGAAAGACGTCATGAAGTAACTCCACATATGAGGCTAGGAAGGACAGGCACCTGAGGAGGCTACAGAGCATGGAGGAAAATGTTTGATGTAAAGAAAAGCATACATAGCATGCTTACATCGATAAGCTAAGCTCAAAGCCCTACCCTGAGAACCATGCAGACAAATGGGGAGAAAACCTTTGAGAAACTGAAGGGCAGGTCTTGGCACAACACAAGAAAGAACATAGAAAGCTGTCATATATTGAGTCAGACCACTGAGTCTTCTAGCTCAGTATTGTCTACACTGGCTGGCAGTGGCTTCCCAGGGTTTGAGCCTGGGCATATTCCCAGCCCTACCTGGAGCTGCTAGAGATTGAACATGGGACCTTCTGCATGAGAATCAGATGCTCCATCCTGAGCTATAGACTTTCCCCTAAATGTAAAATAAGATCCCAGTCCTCATGGAACGCAAAGCTATGGCCAATTGCACATATGTAAGATGAGGAAGTTTAAAACAGCAGTGGAAGACTCCTAAAGCATCAGCTCTATTTTGAAAACAAGACTAGGTGATTCAGAGTTCCCAGTTATTCCAGGGTTCAGACTGGGAGAATTTCAGGAGCCCCCCTACCTGCCACTCATCTTCCAGCCCTCCGGCTCTGCCACCAGGGATGTGTGGAGTGGGGTTTTCTACTGAGCTGTGTTCATACTGCCAGCAAAGTGTTAGCAGCTTCATTTAGTTGTGTCAGTCCACCAGGTGGCCTCTTTCAATAATTGTTCTTGCTGCTCAATGTGATGATATAATTATCTAACGTCCGAAGTGCCTTCCGGATGTGATCACGCCTGCTGTATCGCTGACGCTTTCGACTGTGGTGTCTGGGCTTTGCATTTGCCATCCCATGTGCCCAAAACCTCGAAAGTGGAGGGGGAAATATTGAAACCTTCTCTTGCCTCCCTTTTGTTTTCATGTAGCAGAGTATTCCTGTGAGCTAAAATATATTTATTGCAGCTTGCACAGTGTTGCGTGAAGTCGGGATCAGGCACCCCTCTCCTCAATTTAAACTAGAGCCATTTTGGTAATTAAACAACAACAACCCACAAATTCAAACTTTGGTCCCCCCCCCAAAAAAAATATTGTTTTGGTTTTCTAACTTTCTGCTCAGATTTTACTTTTGGAATCCAGCTGGAAATTAATAGAAGAACAACAGCTTGATTTCTTGCCCACCCTTCACCCATGAGGTCCCGAGGAAGCTTACAGCAATATAAAAAAGCAAGATTAAAATTTGTTAAAGGAGTATTTCAATCTCCAATGAAATACAGCCAAGAGTACACGAAACCTTACTCTTGTTGATGGATATGAAGCATCAGCTTGCCAGATTCAATGGTTCCTATGCTTTTTTCAAAATAAGATAAGTAGAATTTCCACTGGTTCCATTCTCTTTTTTTACTTAAAACAAAAAAATAACCTTGTCATCAGATCCAGAGCTGGTACAGATTGTTGCCCTTTTCCTATGGGTCCAAGACCTTCCCTAATTCACCTCCAACATGCCCCCTTTGGCTCCCTACCACCGTGGAAACCCTGCTGTTTGTACTTCTGCACCAGCAGATCTTTCCACCAACATCGAGGGGCTGATCCAGTCCTGTATCCTGTGTTCACAATGCCCAAACAGATGGGAAGCCTGCATTTAGGCTATGAGGGCAAGAGCCAGAAGTCTCCCCCTTGGTGGTCTCCACAAACTGGTATTCAGACACAGACCGGATTACTGCAATGCATTCTACCTTTAAGGTTGAGCTGAAAGTTGCAGGTAGGGCAAAATGCAGCAGCTAGGCTGCCTTAGGCCAAGCTTATGGTCTAAGGCTGCAATCCTAACTTCATTCACCTGGTAGTAAACTGAATTCAACAAGACTTACTTATGAGGAGACATGGTTAAGAGTGCACTGTTCTAAAGCCTTAACAACTCAGGACTGGAATAGCTGAGAACCCACTTTTCTCTGTATCCATGCCCGTAATGGATGGGACCCTGTCCTCTTTACTGTTTCAACAATTGCCTACTACTCTGTGCTGCAAAAATGGTTTTTCTCAGGCCTTTCCCAAACTGAATTGCTGTTTTTAGCTGGCAGCTGATCTATGAGGATTTTCATTACGCTCTCTATTTCTGCTGTATGACTAGTTTTATTGAATGTCTTTTTTATGTACCCTTGCTCCCTGAACAGATAGTATATACTGAGTGATTTTTTTAATGCTGTCTCTTATGCTGCAGATAGTCCACATAGTAGCTATTATGTGTGTTACTTAAGTAGTAGCATGTGGGAGCATCATAAATGTTGCCCCACCACCAGGCACTACTCTCTGCCAGCCAAGTGGCATTTTCACTGGCTCCAATCACTTTCAGCCAGCCCAAGCTGATTTCAGGATTGCCCCCTTAATCAGAAGCATTTATAAATCTCATTTGGAATAGCGCTGTGATCAGTTTCCCTACTTTCAGTTTACTTGCATCACTTCTTTCTGTTTCGCTATCTAGGTTACGTTCAAAGATATACATTGATAAAACACAACCCCCCAAAAAGAGAGGCAATATTGATGCCATTGTACATCTGCTCCCCAAGATTCTTTTTTGTGTAGTGTTTTCACCAATGCACAACATATCGGTAAAACACCACATAAAAAGAATCTTGACACAATCGCATGCACAGTCGTATTAAGGGTTGCTTTTGTGCAGTGTTTTAGCAATGTGTATGGCCCAGTGTCAAGGAGGGAGAAAGACACAAATGGCTCGAAGGAATGGAAAGCTGTGTCAGAGCCTGCACGCATGAAAATTTAAGTGGAAACAAGAAATGATTCCTAATGCACTGGATCTGTTATGGAAACCAGATCAAGTAATTCAGAACTTCAAAATTTGGGGAGAAATTTACATGAGAATAATATCAGAAACAACCTAATTATCTATCTCTATCTCTATCTCTATCTATCTCTCCAGTAACAGTCATTAGGAATATCAGGGAACAAATTAGGAATGGGGGTTTATTATGAATGGGGGTTTGGTGAGTGTTTTGGATACACAAAGAAAAGTGCCTCTCCGAATTGTGTTTTGAACTCTAGTTGGTGTGCTTTCTTGCTGGAGGAGCAGCTTAGTGAGGGAAGGGCATTGTGCAATATCAGCAAAATGGTGACTGCATGGATTATTATTTTTCCTTTGGCTGGTTTCTTGTGTTGGTTTTCTCTTGTGGAAGCTTCGGTGTCGCAATAAAACCACAACACGCTGCAAACAAACCTTTTCTGTGTTAGTTTGTAAGCATGGCGAGGCTGCACTGACGGAATCAATGCACTGCTCCCTCATCACCAGATTTTGGCACCTCTCTGAGAGGGAAAGGACTTTGTGGTAAATGGCCAGGGCCCCACTCCGCAATTTTCACAGAAACACCTTGAAGCGACTTATAAAAGCATATATTAAAACAATCAATGAATCATCTATTATACCGTCAGGAACCCATTGAAACAGGACAAACGGAGTAAGAACATAATCATTAAAACATAAACATATTTAAATAACATATAATACAAGGATAAAAAATGAGCTACCAACTGCAATTAAAATGAGAGCGTCACCTTATGAGACCTTTGAGGAGAGAACAGGAACTTGGCCACTGACTCTATTAGCTTGTTTGTATCAGCCAAGAAACCTTTCATAGAATTGTAGCATTGGAAGGGACGCTGAGGTTCCCTCTGCAATGCAGGAATATGCAGCTGTCTCATATGGGGATTGAACCTGCAACCTAGGTGCTATCAGCACCACACTCTAACCAACTGAGCTGTCTAGATTTCAGGTACCATTGTGGACTGCTGTCCTTACAGGATGTTTCCTCAGAAAGGGGCAAAGTAGCCTGTTGTGTTGCTCTCCATGAAGATTACAGGGTTTATTTTTATTTTATTTTTTTAAAAAAGTGGCCTAAACTTTTGACTGCTTCATCTCTACAGGGACACAAAGATTCGTCCTATGGGACACCTTCATTGTGCCTTCCCAATATTGCAGAAGCGAGACAGCCAAATCTGGAGAAAGCATGGCAATACTTGGGGAAGGTCAAATTGTCCAGTTAATACCGGGGTGGGGCGGGGCTCAAATCTAATAATAAACATCTCAGGAAAAAGACTGTACAGCAGGGATAAGAACATAAGAAAAGCCTGCTCTGCCTCTCTTTTAAATCAGAACCAGTGAAGGCGGTGAAGGTCCTGTGTGAGTGTCTGGAGGCAGTTGGAGGATGGATGGCAGCTAACGGATTGAGGTCCTGACAAGACAGAAGTACTGTTCTTGGGGAACAGGGGGTGGGCTGGTGTGGAAGACTCCCTGATCCTGAATGGAGTAACTGTGCCCCTGAAGGACCAGGTGCACAGCCTGGGAGTCATTTTGGACTCACAGCTGTCCATGGAGGCGCAGGTTAATTCTGTGTCCAGGGCAGCTGTTTACCAGCTCCATCTGGTACGCAGGCTGAGACCCTACCTGCCAGCAGACTGTCTTGCCAGAGTGGTGCATGCTGTAGTTATCTCCCGCTTGGACTACTGCAACGCACTCTACGTGGGACTACCTTTGAAGGTGACCCGGAAACTGCAATTAATCCAGAATGCGGCAGCTAGACTGGTGACTGGGAGTGGCCACCGAGACCATATAACACCAGTCCTGAAAGATCTTCATTGGCTCCCAGTATGTTTCCGAGCACAATTCAAAGTGTTGGTGCTGACCTTTAAAGCCCTAAATGGCCTCAGTCCTGTATACCTGAAGGAGCGTCTCCACCCCCATTGTTCTGCCCGGACACTGAGATCCAGCGCCGAGGGCCTTCTGGCGGTTCTCTCACTACGAGAAGTGAGGTTACAGGGAACCAGGCAGAGGACCTTCTTGGTAGTGGCGCCTGCCCTGTGGAACGCCCTCCCAGCAGATGTCAAGGCAATAAACAACTATTTTACTTTAAAAAGACAACTGAAGGCGACCCTGGTTAGGGAAGTTTTTAATGTCTGACGCTGTATTGTTTTTAATATTTGGTTGGAAGCTGGCCATAGTGGCTGGGGAAACCCAGCCAGATGGGCGGGTTATAAATAATAAATTATTATTATTATGGAAGTGAGAGCTGGACCATAAAGAAGGCTGATCACCGAAGAATTGATGCTTTTGAATTATGGTGCTGGAGGAGACTCTTGAGAGTCCCATGGACTGCAAGAAGATCAAAATTATCCATTCTTAAGGAAATCAGCCCTGAATGCTCATTGGAAGGACAGATCATGAAGCTGAGGCTCCAGTACTTTGGCCACCTCATGAGAAGAGAAGACTCCCTGGAAAAGACCCTGATGTTGGGAAAGACAGAGGGCACAAGGAGAAGGGGGCGACAGAGGACGAGATGGTTGGACAGTGTTCTCGGAGCTACCAGCATGAGTTTGACTAAACTGCGGGAGGCAGTGGAAGACAGGAGTGCCTGGCGTGCTCTGGCCCATGAGGTCACGAAGAGTCGGTCACGACTAAACGACTAAGCAACAGCATTGTTATTACTGCTGGATCAGGCCAATGGCCCAGCTAGTCCGGCATCCTGTTCTCACAGCAGCCAAACAGATGCCTGCACGAAGTCAGCAAGTGGGATCCCAGCAAAACAGCCCTCTCCTCTCCTGTGTTTTCTAGAAGCTGATATTCAGAAGCATTGCTGCCCCCTGACTGTTGAGGCAGAGCATAGTCCTTGTGCCTAGTAGACGTCGATAGCCGCCTCTGCCATAAATTTGTCTGATCCTTTTAAAGCCATCCAGGTTGGTGGATGCCATCATTGCTACTGGCTGGGATGCGTCCTGGAAATCTGATGTTGCCTCTTGCTTGCTTGCTGGATGGAAGACAGAGAAAGGTGTATGTTAGAAACCTTGCATGCTGCTCCCTTTTGCTGCCTGCCACTGGAAAGTGGCCCCCAGAAACAGTTCGTGACAAACTGTTTCAAAAGGACTGAAACAAATTTATACTTTATATGAAAGAAAACTGTAAACATTTGAAAACATTGGTAGGCTTGAACTGAAATGTTTTGTAATGTAAATATAAGGAACTGATTTACCGATAACAAGGTGAAATATTATAATAAGATAGAAGGTGTGATTATAGAAATGCGAAGAATATAGGAAGGTGTGTGGAAGTCAGAAAGAGGGAGGGAAGGTGGTCGATGCTCTTATAGAGTACAGTGGTACCTCGGGTTACATACGTGTCAGGGAACTGCCATCGGAGCCAGAGGGAGAGGGAGGGCTCCAGAGGGATTTCAAAGAGCGTCCCGGGAGGGAGAGAAGCAGCACATCTTCTGGGGAAGGAAATCAGTGTAACACCAGTGGAGAAGGGGGGCAGATGGGGGAATTGGCGAGGTGGCTCTAAGACTCCTCGCAGGGAACCAGTGGGGAGAGCACGGGTCTCCGATGCCCACACCCTCCCTGCGCAGAAGGCTTCCGCGCAGAGAAGCTAGGCAGAGACTAGGCGTCAAAGAGCTTCTTTGTTGGAAGAAGTTCAAGAAACGCCCACTAACGGATACTGCCAGCGATTGAGACAGCCACGGGCGCATGGCTGTCCAGACAGAAAGGGTTCATTCAGGCAACCAGCCAAGGGTGGCTTTGATTTACACACAAGCAACCCCTAGAACCATTACAATATGCTTCAGGTTACATACACTTCAGGTTACAGACTCCGCTAACCCAGAAATATTACCTCGGGTTAAGAACTTTGCTTCAGGATGAGAACAGAAATTGTGCAGCGGTGGTGCAGCGGCAGCAGGAGGCCCCATTAGCTAAAGTGGTACCTCAGGTTAAGAACAGACCTCCAGAATGAATTAAGTTCTTAACCCGAGGTACCACTGTAATGTATTAAGTTACAGAATTATGTAACAAAATGTGATTATGATAAAAGTGGAAAATTTAATATATATATATTTTAAAAAGGAAAGTAGCCCCCAGAAAATAACCGAGAAGGAAATGTGGCCCCAGTTCTAGAATGTAGGACTAACGCAGCAGCCCCCACCCGACTTTGCTCTTTCCTCTGTAGGAAGTTAATCCAGCCCAAGCCCCAGGCTTTCCTCTTTTTAAAAAGCAAATACCCAACCTCCAATCCCTGGGGTGAAGGGTGGGGAACCCCTTTTAGAGACTTAGTGAAGCCTCCGCTTGAGTCTTGACAGCTGATGATGCTCTGTGCCGAAAGAGGAGGCAGAGGCTGCAGCTGATCTAGGCCAGTGTTTCCCAACCTTGTGCCTCCAGCTGTTTTTGAACTACAACTCCCATCATCCCTGACTAGCAAGACCAGTGGCAAGGGATGATGGGAATTGTAGTCCAAAAACAGCTGGAGGCACAAGGTTGGGAAACACTGATCTAGGCAGCACGTGGACTTGGGGGGTGGGGAACGTATTGGAGGCGTCGCGGGGTCTCTCCCCCCCCTCCCCGCCGCCGCCAGCAGCGCTTGTGAAGCTTCACAGCAAAGCTAAATTGACAGATAAGTGCTTTGGTTCTGATCTTCCTACCCACACTTTGGCTCGTTTTCGGGTGATTGTTCGGAGGATGATTAGCACAGGTGTATTTATAAAGTACGCATCTCCATGGTGTTCGTTAATGCACATGCAGTTGCTTTTCGGATGCCAAGCACCTGCCTGACTTGATCTGCAACTCATCCCAAGAGACACTGATGCGGGCAAAAGAAAACCAGTCCTGCACAGCCCTGGGTTTGAGGCAATCAGGACAGGCTCCAAACATTTTGTTGTGTGCAGGGATGTGTGACAGTGCTGGCCATTCTCTCAGTTTCTTGTTTTCCTGATCTTCAGTGCTCTGCATTTCTGCATCTCTCTCTCTCTCTCTCTCTCTCTCTCTCTCTCTCTCTCTCTCTCTCACACACACACACACACACACACACACACACACACACAAACAACTGGGGGGCATTTTTGTTTTGTTCTTGAATCAGTTTTATTAAAGGCTTTTCAACCTAATGTAGCATAAAATTTCAGCTAAATTAAACAATAAAAAGCAATATGTCAAACAGAAAAAAGAAAATAGAAAAAGAAACACAATACTCACCATAAGACACAAGATTATAAATCTATATCTATGTAGCCCTCAGTCACCCTTTTATCTTCGCACATACAGAGAGTTGAATCTTCCCACCTCCCACCCTAAGAAAAAGCCCCTTCCTTTTCTCATTAGCATTCCAGATGCAAATTTCTCTCAATAGGCATGTTTGTTTGCCTTCTCTACACTTTTT